CACAGATGGCTGTGTGTCCAGAGGACTCGGGAAGCTGGGTGATGAAGTCGACGGAGACAGAAGACCAAGGGCGATCGGGAACAGGGAGCGAGGCAAGGAGTCCGTAGGGCTTGTGACGGGAGTGCTTGTTCCGCTGGCAGGTGTCGCATCCGGAGACATACTCCTTGATGTAGCGACGCATGGTCGGCCAGTGGAAGGTCCGGGAGACGAGCTCGAAGGTCTTGGCGACGCCGAAGTGGCCGGCGGTCGGCGAGTCGTGGCACTCGACGAGGATCTTGCGCTTGAGCTCGGGGACATCGGGGACGCAGACGAGACCTTCAAAGAGCAGAAGGTCGTTGTCGACGGAGTAGCCGGGACAGGAGGCAGGGTTCTTGAGGACTTGGGACAGGATCGGACCAAAGGTAGAGTCCTTCTTGAGGCTTGACTTGATGAGGGCGGCGATATCCTCGGACTCGGGGGCAACGGGAACGGCTCGGAGGGCGGAAACGAAGAGTTTTGGTGGCAGCAGGGTCTGGGTGTTCGGGGAGCTACGGGAGTCACCCCCCTCCTTAGGGAACTTGTCCTTGCGGGAGAGGGCGTCGGCGGCATTGTTGAGGGTTCCGGGTCGATACCTGATGACGAAGTTGTAGTCGCCAAGGATCTCGGACCAACGGACTTGGCGACGGCTGAGGTTGCGGGAGGTCTGGAAGTATTCGAGGTTCTTGTGGTCGGTGACGACCTCGGTGGCTTGGGAGGAGAACTCGAGGTAGTGTCTCCATTGCTTGAAGGCTGCGACGATGGCGAGAAGTTCCTTATCATAGATTTGATAATTCATTTCCGCATCGAGCAGCTTCCGGGAGTAGAAAGGCCACGGGGTGCAGGAGGCCTTCGTCGTCGCGCTGACTGAGAACAGCGCCAAGAGCATAGTCAGATGCGTCGGCTTCGATGACGCACTGACGCTCGGGGTCGAAGTGGCGGAGGACAGGACCGGTGCTCAGGCATTCCTTAAGCTTCAGGAATGACGTTTGAGCCGAGGGAGACCAGGAGAACTTGATGTCCTTCTTCAGGAGGTCCGTCAGCGGGGTGGCGATCTTGGAGTAGTCCTTGACGAACCGACGGTAGAAGTTCGCCAGGCCGAGGAAGACTTGGATGTCGTGGGCAGATCGGGGGATCTCCCACTCCTGGATGGCCTTGACCTTGTCGGGATCCATGGAGATTCCATCGGGCGAGATGATGAACCCGAGGAAGGCGACGGAGGACTGGTCGAACTCACACTTTTCAAGCTTGAGTGAGAGTCCGGCGTCTTGGAGCTTGGTCAGGACTTTCTTGACATGAGCGTCGTGCTCGGTAGGATCGGAGGAGTAGATGAGGATGTCGTCCAGGTAGACGACCACGAACTGGTCAAGGTATTCTCGGAGGACATCGTTGACGAAGGCTTGGAACGAGGCAGGAGCGTTGGTCAAGCCGAACGGCATGACGTTGTACTCGAAATGGCCGTAGCGGCAGCGGAAGGCCGTCTTCCACTCTTCACCTTCAGCGATGCGCAAGAGGTTGTATGCGCCTCGCATGTCGAGCTTGGTGAAGATCTTGGCCTTACCGAGGTTGTCGAACGTCTCGGCAATCAGGGGCAAGGGACAACGGTTCGGCACGGTGATCTTGTTCAGGGCCCGGTAGTCGACGCAGAGACGGAGGGAGCCATCCTTCTTCTTGACGAACAGGACTGGGGCACCGGCAGGGGACTCGGAACGGCGGATGAAACCCTTGGACAAGTTCTCTTGGATGTAGGTGTGGAGGGCGTCCATCTCCGGCTTGGAGAGGTTGTAGACGGGCCCAAACGACGGAGACGCACCTTCGACCAACGGGATCGTGTGGTCGTAAGGGCGGTGCTGGGGGAGCTTGTCGGCCTCGGACTTGGAAAACACCTTGGCAAAGGACGAGTACTTGGAGGGGACAGAGGGCTCGGCCTTGGGCTTGGCTCCAGCGTCGACGGAGCAGAGGGACAGGACTCGGGCAGCATCCAAGAGGAACACTTCCAGGCCTTCCTTCTGGACGGCGTGCTGGAAGGGGATGCTGCCGATCAGGCTGACGCTGGGCAGGGACTGGGTCTTGGTCTTGGTCTTTGGGACGGCAGGAGGCAAGGCAGGACTGGGCTTGGGCACGGCAGGAGGCAAGGCAGGGAGGATCTCGGGCTCGGCTGGGGACTCGGCTGGGGACTTGGCAGGAACAATCTTGGACGCGGGCAGGGACACGGCAGGCTCGGCGGGGACCTCAGCAGGAGACTCGGCAGGCGGCTCGGCAGGGCTGGACCTAGAGGACTGTGGCTCGGGAGAGAACGGGGAGGCCAAACTGTGGATAGAGGTGCAAGGCAAGAAAATAGAGTCATGGTGCCAGTCAAAGTAGGGTTTGTGTTTCTTGATCCAATCCATACCCAAGATGATCGGGTATGAAGCCAAGGGAATCAGCGCGAACGAGATTTGTTCATAGTGGCTGATGCCTGTGATCATAGAAACACAAACTCCAAGACTAGACTCCATCGAAGAACCATCGGCAAGAGTGATGACGAAAGAAGTTGCAAAGGTGGGGAGAGCGTGGGTTGCGGCGAATCCAGTGTCCATAAACGAAGTAACCGCGCCGGTATCGATCATGGCGGTTGCCCGTATGGACTCTGGACCGCACAGCAGAGTCACAGCGAGGGAGGGCTGACGTTGGATGTCAGGCTCGGGAGGCGAAGACGAAGAAGCAAGAGCGGTGGAAGCGGTGGCAATGGTGACGGGGGCAAGATGGCAAAAGGCAGAAGAGTGATTTACCGTGGAGACATTTACAGGAGGAAGATTTATGACATGATTGACGCCTAGGAAAGCTCCTCCGACCTTTTCTAGGCAGAGAAGTTTTCCTGGTTGTCAAGTTTATTCACCTCAACAGCAGCCAAAGAAGCATCGATGACAGCCAAGGGGGAGGAGGTCTTATTGGGGCAGCGAAGGGCAATGTGCCCTTCCTGCTTGCAATAAAAGCAACGGTTGGCAGCACGGAGGGCGGCCTTGTCCTCGGCGGTCAGCCTGCGAGCGGAAGCCTGGCTGAGGTCCATGGGCTGCGGAACGTTGAAGGCTTGAGCGGGGCGAGGAGGAGGAGCAGGAGCGAAGGGACGAGGAGCCGGACGGAAAGGGAGAGGAGCCGGACGAGCAGGAGCAGGAGCAGGAGCGGAGCGGTGGTTGGGACGGCGGGAGCGTTGGTCCTCCTGGCGGTTGTCGATGGCGATCGCCGCTTGCATGAGATCTTCGAGGTTGTCGAAGGAGCGGCGGGAGAGTTCGTCTTGAACCGAGGGCTTGAGTCCACTCTCGAAGTGGAACATGAGAGGGTCTTGGGACCAAGTGAGGAGGTGGACGGCTTGGCGGCGGTACTCGGCGGCATAGGCGGCGGCGGAGGTGACTTGGTAAAGCCTGACCATCTCGCGAGCAGCGGCGATGGTGGGCTGGACCTGGCCAAAGGCAGCACGGAGCCACTCGGAAAAACCGGCAAAGTCACGGATGGCAGGGGGGGAGCACTCGGGGTCTCTCTCCAACTGATCGATGTACGGCTGCATGTAGTCTGCAGCAGTACCATCGAGATAGGATAAGGCGTAAAACACCTTATCCCTTTCAGTCTGGAAGAGGGGAGGGTTGGACACGAAGGCCAGTCTGCAATGCGAAAGGAAGGCATTGCAGCGGCTCGGGTCCTTACCAGAGAAGCGGTCGGGAGGACCTATCTGCCTGGTGGCAGAGTTGCGACCAGCAGAGTGATCCTCGGGGTCTTGGGCAGGATCATCAACGTCGTCAGGTACGCCGAAGTAGGGGCGACCTGCACGACGGATCGGGGCGGGAGCGGGAGCAGGAGGAGGTAGCTGGGCCTGGTAGCTGCGGAGGGCCTCCTGGACACTGGCGGCGACAACTTGGCGGACATCCTCTTCACGGCGAGCCAGGACCTGGTCCATACGATCGGTGATGCGGTTGAGCGCATCATCCTGATCGTGGAGGAACTTGGAAAAGTCCTGGAGAGAACGGGCGTTCTCGGCGGACTGGATAATGACCGCACGGATGGCCTGGAGCTCGGGCTCGGAAAGGCCCGAAGGGGAAGCCATTGGTAAAAGATATAGCGAAGAGGACGGGGCAAGTGGGGGGTTGTTGAAGGTCTTGCCAAGTGTCAAGACTGGACAACGGGGCAAGCAGGGAAGTGCGCAAGAGTCCTAATGCAAGACTCGAACGTAGGGAGAGGAGCGGGGACTGGACTGGGACACAGAGTGTCAAGTGTGAAGCCAAAGTTTTATTCTAGATCCAAGGCTTAGGATACTAAAAATACAAAGTGGCAAGACGAAGGCAAAAGACAGAGGCTGGTCGGAGGGCTATTTATGCGAGCGCCAAGGATCGACGCTGCAGAGCGAGGGGGCAGGAGCGAAGCAGCGGCGGGGAGGGCGAAGCAGCGAGCGAAGCAGGTGGCGGCCGTGACTCGGGATCCGTGAGTCAGCGGGCGTCAGTGGCGGCGGCATGGCGGCGCCAAGGCGTCAGGCGGCGTCGAGGCGGCGTCGTGGGCGTAACCCATGACCAACAGCAAGGAAGCGGGAACGGAACACAGACAGCGCGCGTGCTGGCGGGAAGACAACAAGGCAGCACAGCGCGGGAAACAAACAAACAGAAGGAAGGGAAAGCGCTAAGGCAGGCAAACAGAAAGGAAAGGGCAAGGGTAAAGGAAGGTAGAGGGCAAAGGCAGAGGGTGTTCATGACACTTTCATTCATCCACCCCACAGACACATCGTGGATTATACCTTGTCTTGCGATACGATACTTATGATAATCACTCATTTTTTTGATGATTTCAGGGAGCTTCGGTCGATCCCTTGACTCGAAGCTAACGCATTTCGATAGTATATCATTCAAAACGGGTGGAATCATGTAAAGAGGGATATTCGGAACCTTCTTATCGATGTAGACCTCCTTTTCCATGTCTTTTATGGTCTCGATTGGCCTGGACCAGACGTTCTGGCAATTGACCAATATTTCGAAACACGTCACTCCGAAGGAATAGACGTCGGTGAAAAAGTTGGGCTGGATATTGCGGAATCGTTCCGGTGCGAAATATTGAATCGTTCCGTAAAACCCTTCTCGTCCCTTATCCTTGTCCTTGGACGGTGGTTTCACGACCGTTCCACTCTCGCGTCCATCCAAGGCAATCGACACGCCGAAATCGCATAGCATGACCGATAAATCGTCTTTGAGGATGGCGTTGCTCGGCTTCACGTCGACAAACACGCATTTCTTGGCATGCATGTACTGCATGCCTTCAGCGATTTCGAACATCCACTTTAGCTTCTGATTCAAGCTGACCGTTCGGCCCTCCATGTACGTTTGAATATCGCGATTTGGGAAATACGGCGATACCAAGGCGTAGCCGACATCGTGAATGGCCCAGCCGAGAAGCGGGAGGATTCGCTCGTGCTTGAGTCGAGTCCACACATCGAGCTCCCATCTAATCGATGCGAACCAATCTTCTCCGTTGGTTTTGGGCTCCAAGAAGAACTGCTTGAAGACCACGGGCCCTCTTCGGATACTAAGCGATCCGATAACGATGCGAAGGGAATTGTCCTCCTTGATCGTTGAAGTAGCAGCCTCCCGGATGGAGCAATAGCCCTTATTGAAAAGCGTCAGGTTGATCTTGGAATATCGTGCTTGTATCTGGCGGGCTTGCTCTCCCCCGGGTTCTCCGGCGAGCGGGGACAGAGTCTCAGTTTTTCTGGGGCGGCCGGGTCGACGCATATTTCCGTTGGCTCGCATGACGACTGTAACGACGCTGAGGCCTGTTATGGGGGGTGCTGGCGGGCATCGGACGAGGCGGGCGAGGCGGGCGGCTCTCGGCTTGGGTCCTGCGGATGCGCAGTTTTTTTGAGTGCGCAGCATGCTGACGTCACGCATCGCCCATGGCGAGCACCTCTGAGCCAGCGAAATAATAATATGAGTCCACTCTCAGCAACACCGAACCAACCAACCATATGGCCGATTCTGACTGGATTTACGCCGCCATTGGCTTTCTGATCGCCGTGGCCATCTATTATGTCTTCTTCAAGACTCCGGCCGTCATTGAGAACATTGTTGGCTTGTCGGGTAACGCCATCGTCTACCAGTACTTCATTGTGGATTGCACTGGAATCAGCCTGAGCACATTCTCCATCGCAAAGAACCTCGTTGGACTCACCGCCGGTGCCAGAGGTATCGATCCGCCAATAAAGTTTGCGATTGCCGACCTGGACCCATGGCGTAGACGCCATATCATCATGAGTCCCACGATTACGGGCGCACAGATCCCCAACTACAACTTTTACATCACTACCGTCGGTGTCGATTGGCCCCAAAATGCCACCGTCGTCGTCTACTCCACGATTAATGGCGTCGCCCACACCGGTGTCGCAAACATCCGCCAACTCCCCGGAACCACCCGTAAGGTCACTCTCTCGCCTGATAACAACCCCAGCAAGACCACGTATACGTACACGTTTGGATGGTGGCCGTAGAATATCAAGTGTATTTTCAGGGTTAGAGACTTTCCTCGAGATCAGAACGCCATTTCTTGTGCATCAAGCGCGTTTTGGTGTTTCCACGACGCTTTTGCCTTTCAGGGTACATTTCCTTCGCCTGCGGGTGTCCCAAACGAGCCGCTTCCTTGTAGAGCATTGTGATGAGATCCGGACGACCCGTCCCAAGTTCTTGATAGCATTTTGCTGTCATAAAAGCGCAGTTTGGGTTGGTGGGGTCGTCAAACATCTTGAAGTACGTCAGAGCAGCCTTCAAATTAGGTTTTCCAAAATGACCTTCATATTCAAGATTTCCCAGGCAGTAGCTCGACAGAGATCCGGCGGAAGTCAGGGTAGCTTGGAACAGCTCATGCGCCTTGGCAAGATTCCTTTCAACACCGATGCCTTCCAAGTAACATCGAGCAAGCATGTATGTACAGAGGGCTTCGTTCTGAGTACCAAGTGCACACCACTTGAGATGACGACTGTATGTCGGGTGTTCTTCTCCATTGAAGCCATGGAATTGGGACTCGATCTTGAAATACGTTGGCCAATCCACATCATGTGTCTTGCCTTTGGTCGAGAAATAGATCATTCTCAAATACGTAGCGACCTTGAATAAATCTGACAACTCGTCTCGACTGGGACCAGGACCGGGGCCTTTGGAGGGGTTGGTTCGATTCCATGCCTTTGCCCAGATGGCGAATGCAGCTTCTTGATCTTTGGGACGCCCGAGGCCGAGAAAGAGGATCCAGCCGTAATGGATCATGAGCTCAACGAGCTCGCGCGTTGTCTGCTTCTTTTGCCCGTTCGAGTGATGTTCGTAAATATCAGCAGACACCTTCCAGACCTCTTCATGAATTGAATATTCATGAAGTTTCAGGATATCCTGGGCAGCTTCCAAATACTGATCGATGTCAGCACTCTCGAGCATCGTCATGAGACTGGGGTCGGGTGTTGGATATGCCGGTGTACTGGTGGGCCGCATGCGCTGTGTGGCCTGTGGCTGAGTCGATGGTTGCCGTTCGCCAGTGATAATCCGAGGTGTTGGAGGTATGGGGAGCGCTGCAAGGACCGCATCTAAACGAGTAACGACTTCAGATGCGGTGATCCGCGACCTTGGTTCCATGCATTGGCATTTTCGAAAGATTTCGAATAAATCCGTTTTTTTGCCATCCTCCGATACGATGGTTGGACATTCGCCTTTCAAAATTCGGCTTTTGATTTCATCTTCATCCAATGGGACCTTTGGATCGGCTCCGAACCAAATCGGATTTCCCCCACCAAAGAAGATTTCGATGAGGATGACCGAAAGAGAAAAGATATTAGATGGCTTGGAAGTACCGACTTTTCCTCTGAGCCTCTCCGGTGCTTGGTACTGGTTGGCATTTTGAGTCGAGGGGTTGAAGGGGATCAATGACACAAGAGGCTGATTATAGTCGTCCATTACGACTGTATCGATGTTGAGCGAGAGGTGGGAAACATCCAACTGATGCATAGCTTCAACTCCAGAAGCGATACCGATAGCAAGTAATAGCTTGGCATCAAGCGAAAGAGCAATTCCTTGATCGACGATGTACTGGCGAAGCGTTGTCTTGAACATTGGGACCATGAACCAACACGGTTGTGTCGAGTCACAACCACCAAGGCATTGGAGGAGGTTTTTGTGAGTGAAGGTGGACATGCTTCTGACATTCAACTGGAATTTAGTGACTTCAGATACCGATTTAGGAGACTTGATCTCGTAAAACTTGAGAATGGCTTTCACACCTTGATATCTGACGACGATCGACCCATCAACAGGAGATGGATGGTCTTGGCAAATACTGTCGAGTGCCCATCCGTCGAGCCTCCAAGGCTCCTCCGCTATTGCGATGCGATAGGCCCGATTTGATGCGTTGTGTTCAAGCCAGGCCAGGAGTTTCACGGCGATGCTGACGATGGGAGGCACATGGTGGCCTTGAGGCGGGACCTTGGAACATTGCTCCAAGACAGTGACCAAGCGGATGAGCCTGGTGACTTCGTTCATCACTCGTTCCGGAACTACTCCTTTGACGTTGTCAACTTCAAGTGCTTTACCGAGTCTTGCGAGTATTGCTTCATCAACTTTCTTCTCCACCTCAACGATCGGATTGAGCTCGGCTTCGTAATCTGGTACGACAGTGTTTTCAAGTTTCAATCTCCTCTCCACTCGTCGGAGGAGATTGCAAAACTCAGCGCAGAGTCCGCGATAAAAATCATGAACTCGGTTGTAGGAGAAGTATAACGGTAGCATATCTTCCTGGACGATAAGCAAGTTCCATATGATCTTGACCTGATCCAAGTAGCGAGCCAGGTCGGCGAGATGCCGTCTGACTTCATCCGAAACGGCTCTTTTGTCCATCGAACGTGGTGTTGTGTTTGCGTACAAATGAACCAGATACACAGTCAGCAAAAGTCCTGTCGTCGGCTTGATGCCGAGCACCTGGGTTCGACGAGGCAGCATGCTTACAGGTCCCTGAGCTGATTATTAGTGCGTGATGCACGATAACCTTCGAACAGATTCGCAATACTGGTCTTGACGACATTGAGGAATAATCTCCAGGAAATCGGATGGAAAATATCATTGTCTTTTCCTTCTTTTATAAGTTGGAACAAGCTTTGGAAAAGGGGTCTGAATCCCTGTTCGTTCGGGTTCTGCTCGAGAATATCTCGAACGTCTGCGAGGAGAGTGCGACGCAAGGCTGAAAAAGAGAGTGGTATGTTGAGCAATCACATACGAGGAAATGGATACGACCTGGAAACGCTCGACACGTATCATTGAACCACTCACGCGGTTCCATATTCGCCTTGGGATACATGGCTCAAATCGACAAGTCGAACATAGGAGACACCAAGCAGACATGCGAGACAGACGCATTCGCATCGACCCTGGCCGGTCTGTAGGATGCGCAGCAGCTTGAAATATGGCCAATCAGCACGCACGGCGCATGGCCGCATGGTCACGGTATCGGGGAACAACCAATGGTGGACGCGCGCAGCAATGCGCAGTGCGGCGCGGTGTGGCGAATTTTGCGTTTTCACGGTTCCGACCCCGCCGGAACAAGAGGGAGGAGGGCATCCATCCGCCTCCCGCACCGCTTCGACAAGCGCCACCAACGTCGGGGCTTTGTTCAGGCCAGGCCTGTCCTACTCTGCCGTCGCCAGCGTCGCTATGCGGTGGGAGATTGTGTAGGAGATGGTATCTCCGACGCTGTGCTGCGCGTACTGCGCGTACTGCGCGGCGCAGTGGGTCGTGACCTGTGCTGCGCTTTGCGTTTTCACGCACCGCAGGCAGGCCACCGCAGGGTATACCTGCGGGTTGCCCCCGTTCCCCCCGTTTGTCTGGAGTTCGGTTTTATCGTGAATAAACGTAAGTGCTCCCCGAGCTCACCCGTCCGCTAGAGTAGCCTAGCACCGCCCTGTTCTGCCCCGTCCTGTCTTGTCTTGTACCCCCTCCCTCCCCGTCTTGCCCCAACGTCCCAGTAGTGGACGTTACATGGTAGCATCGGAAATCCTCGTCTTGTTTTCGTCCTGTTTGTCCTCTTTCTAGATCCTCAAGCTGGATCCCGCCTCTCTTGCCGACCGACTCTCCTCTCTGTCCCTGGAGCCTGCCCCTGCCATGAGCAACCCCCGCCCACTTCCGGAAGCCTTCCTCAAGACCTTCCGTGCCCCAGTGTTTACTGGGAAGAGCCGCTCCTCCTCGGTGGAGGACTGGCTGCAGCAACTCGAGGACTACCTCGATGCTGCCCAAGTCGCCCCCACCCACCACATCGTCGCCGCCAAGCTCTGCTTAAAGGACCAGGCGTACCGTTGGTACCGCCGCCAAGGGTTCGACGAGCAGAGCGAAGGTGTGTTTGACGACTTCAAGGACCGCCTCCGTCGCCGCTTCGGCAGCCCCAATGCTGAACTCATTGCCCGTGACAAGCTATACTCTCTCGTGCAGCGTGGTTCTGTGACCCGCTACATCGAGGAGTTTGAAGACCTCTCCTCCCAGATTGAGGAGCTGGGCTCTGCTGATGCGATGTACCTCTTCCAGAAGGGCCTCAAGCCCAAGATCAGAGAGTACATCGCCAGCAACCCTGATGCCCGCAAGTCCCTGGACGTGATGATGGACGTTGCCGAGAACCTCGACAACGTCCAGTACCATGGCCGCCAGTTCTACCCGCAGCTGGCAGGCGGCCATCGGTCTCATCACGTCCCAGCCCGTCCGCCTCGCCCGGCCCCGCCCGCAAGACCCATGCCTGAGCCCATGGACGTTGACGTCAACGCCATGGAGGCTCGTGGCCCTCCCCGCTCCCGGTTCCAGCAAGCTGCCACTGTCTCCCCCAAGGACAGACAGAAGCAGGAGGACCTCCGCCATGGTTCCTGCTTCTTCTGTCACCGACCGGGACACCAGGCCAAGGAGTGCCCCATGAAGTCGGGAAACGGCCGACCCTACTAGGTGGCTCTGGAGCCCTAGTAGGAGACCAACGCCGTGGATTGCTCAATGCAGTCCACGCGTCTCCAGAGGAAGTTCACCTCGCCCCCTCCCCCGAAGGAGAAACAAACCAAGTGTTGTGCGTCGTGCGAGAGGTGCATGGTGGCGCAAGCCGCCTGCCTCTCCACGAACGTGAAGAGAAAACCAAAATTGAAAACCAAAACAAAAAAGAAAATCAAGAACCCTTGAGGGACAGGACCGCCTGTGCCCTCACCCCTGTCAAGTCGTGTGTGTCGGATGCTTCCGACATGTGTCCGCAAGCCGTGGACGTCGTGTGCAATGGCGTGCTGACGCCGCAGGCCCCCGCAATGGCCGAACCCTATCCAAAATGTCCGAGTGGCCGTGATGAAGCCAACCAAGACCAAGTGTCGCCCGTTCCCCCAAGTCAAGTCATGGTGCAGGAGGCTGTGCAGGAGGACCATGAAGAGTCCCTGCTGTACCTCCCTGCCACCGTCCAAGGTCACACCGTCCGAATGATGGTGGACTCTGGAGCAAGCTGCAACTTTGTCAGCAGACGCTTGCTCCAGGAGCTCAACATACATGCAACCAAGAAGAAGTCGCCGATGAGTGTGGCGCTTGCAGACGATCGTGTGCAGCAGTGCACACACCAAGTGGTCCTGCGAGTGGCCCTCCATCCCAAGTACCATCCTGTCCTGTTGTTCCAAGTGATCGACACCAAGTTCGATGCCATCCTCGGCATGAGCTGGCTTGCTCGTGCCGAGCCGACTCCAGTCGTCGACTGGAAAGGCCGCACTGTCCGTGTTGGCCCTGACATTGTCCTGCAGGGCATGGCCTCACCCAACATGCCACCTCTCCTCTCAGCCATGCAATTCAAGAGGCTGATCAAGAAGGACACGTCGTTCCTCTGTGTCGTGCGTGAGGTCGACGACACCGACCAAGCCGGTCCCGGTCCCCCGCCTGTGGTGACCAAGCTGCTCGACGAGTACAAGGACGTATTCCCCGACCAGTTGCCACAATGCCTGCCACCCCAACGCACCGTCGATCATCGCATCGACATCGAACCAGGCTCGTCGCCTCCGTCAAGACCGACGTACCAACTGTCGCTGACGGAGATGGACGAACTCAAGCGCCAGTTGGATGACCTCCTCGCCCATGGGTTCATCCGCCCGAGCCAGTCACCGTATGGTGCACCAGTGCTCTTTGTCAAGAAGAAAGAAGGTGATCTCAGGATGTGCGTCGACTATCGCGCACTAAACAAACAGACCATCAAGAACACCTACCCGTTGCCCAGGATCGACGAGTTGATGGATCGTCTGAGTGGAGCAAAGGTCTTTAGCAAGATAGACCTCCGCTCAGGCTACCATCAGATCCGCATCCACGAGGATGATGTCCACAAGACCGCCTTCAGGACTCGCTACGGACTGTACGAGTTCCTAGTGCTGCCGTTCGGATTGACGAACGCACCTGCCACGTTCATGCAGCTGATGAACGATGTGTTCCGCCAAGAGCTCGACAACTCTGTCATCGTGTACCTGGATGATATCCTTGTGTACAGCAAGGATGAAGCGACCCATGAAGGTCATGTCGCCCGCGTGCTGGCCAAGCTACGCGAGCACAAGTTGTATGCCAAACTGTCCAAGTGTGAGTTCTTCAAGAATCAAGTCCCGTTCCTGGGACACGTTGTCTCAGGAAGAGGAATCGAAGTCGACCCCGCCAAGGTCAAGTCTGTGGTCGAGTGGCCGCCGCTCGCATGCGTCTCTGACGTGCAGTCGTTTCTCGGTCTCGTCAACTACTACCGCCGATTCATCCCCGATCTGGCGCGCACTGCCGGTCCACTCACAGACCTACTCCGCAAAGAGTGCCCCTTCGTGTGGGACCACCCACAACGCCAAGCGTTCGAGACCCTCAAGCACGCCTTGACGAACGCTCCTGTCCTCGCTGTGTTCGACCCGAACACGGATGTCTCCGTGCACACCGACGCCTCCGACTTTGCGGTGGGAGCTGTTTTGATGCAGGAGGGAAGGCCCGTTGCCTTCGAGTCGCGCAAACTGTCCCAACACGAGATCAACTATCCCGTGCACGAGAAGGAGCAGCTTGCGATCATCTACGCGCTGCAGAAGTTCCGAGTGTACCTCCACGGTACCGCCAAGCCCTTCAAGATTGTGACGGACCACCAGTCACTGCGTTACCTCGACACCAAGAAGAACCTGAGCCGACGCCAAGCGCGATGGATGGAGTTCCTCGCCGAGTACAACTACGAGGTTGTATACCAGAAAGGCAAACTCAATGTGGTGCCTGACGCACTGTCCCGACGCCCCGACTACCAATTGGCGTCACTGTACGAGTCGACTGTCAGTGTCGACAACACGATGCTGGATGTTGTCCGAGACAACATCGCCAACGACAAACAGTTCGGAGAACTGTTCCGAAAGGTGTCTAAGCTCCCCAAGGACGACGAATCATCCGAGTACACAGTGCGTGATGGCCTGCTCCTCCTGAAGAAGGACAGCCGTGTCTGTGTGCCGGACATTCCGTCGTTGAAGACCAAGTTGCTCCAAGAGGTCCACGACTCGCCCCTCGCTGGACACTTTGGAGTCGAGAAGACATACGACCGACTGGCCAAAGTCGCATACTGGCCTGGAATGAAGCGCACCGTCGAGAAGTACATCGAGTCCTGCCATACCTGCAAGATGGTCAAGTCACGCACGACCCGAGAGCAAGGATTGCTGCAACCCCTGCCTGTTCCCGACCGCCCCTGGACCAGCATGTCCATGGATCTCATCACGCATCTACCGACGACCAAGTTGGACCACGATGCAATCGCTGTCTTTGTCGACAGGTTCAGCAAGATGGCACACTTTGTGCCGTGCCAGACGACATGCTCCGCGCCTGACCTTGCACTGCTGTTCTTCAAGCATGTGTTCAAGCACCACGGCCTCCCAAAGTCCATCGTCAGTGATCGAGACCCCCGATTCACCTCCTTGTTTTGGACAAGTCTGTTCGACCATCTCGGCACCAAGCTGAACATGTCAACCTCGCACCACCAACAAACGGATGGACAGTCCGAGCGGACGATCCGCACCCTCGAGCAATACCTGAGGACATACGCCTCGACCAGCCAAGACGACTGGGACATACAGCTGAGTCATGCAGAGTTTGCATACAACACCGCCAAGTCGAGCACAACTGGCTTGAGCCCCTTTGAGGCGCTCTACGGATTCCAGCCTGATGTTCCCACCTCCTTGACACTGACCGAGTCCACGGCTGGATTGCCTCCCAAACCAAGTGCCTTTGTCAAAGATCATCAAGTCCGACACAAGATGATCGCCGACGCGCTCACGGATGCGCAACAAGTGATGGCGAAGTACTACGACCGCCGACACCAGGATGTCTCCTTTGAAGTTGGAGACCTTGTCTACCTGGACGCCGACAACATCAAGGTCCCCGAAGCCCAGTCAAAGAAGTTGTTGCCCAAGTACCGAGGACCGTTCAAGATAGCGGCCCGACCCAGTCCCCTCAACTACCTGTTGGACTTGCCACCTGGAAGCAAGCTCCATCCTGTCTTCCATGTGTCCAAGCTGCGTCGCCACACGACCCGCAGTCCAGCACAGTTCCCCGACGCCGACGAAGGTGTCCCGGACGACGCACCACTGGAAGACGACCTCGGACAATACTATACTCAAGAATATGAAGTCGAAAGGATCGTGAGGCACAAGAAAGTGGCTGATGGGTCACTTCGGTTTTATGTCAAGTGGGTTGGTTACCCACACTCGGGCAACACATGGCAAACACTGGAGGACTTGTCCCATGCACCCGAGGAGCTGAGTAAATACGGTAAACACCTCGAGGAGCCCCAAATAAAGAGCACACGCAGGGCTCCTCGCAGGAAGCCTTCTTAAGTGTGGGAGTGTAGGAGATGGTATCTCCGACGCTGTGCTGCGCGTACTGCGCGTACTGCGCGGCGCAGTGGGTCGTGACCTGTGCTGCGCTTTGCGTTTTCACGCACCGCAGGCAGGCCACCGCAGGGTATACCTGCGGGTTGCCCCCGTTCCCCCCGTTTGTCTGGAGTTCGGTTTTATCGTGAATAAACGTAAGTGCTCCCCGAGCTCACCCGTCCGCTAGAGTAGCCTAGCACCGCCCTGTTCTGCCCCGTCCTGTCTTGTCTTGTACCCCCTCCCTCCCCGTCTTGCCCCAACGTCCCAGTAGTGGACGTTACAGATTGCCTCGGGCACTCCTGCACCATACGGCCTCGGACGAGCACCACAAGCCAACCAGTGATCAAGCACCATCGTTACTACATAGCGTTCAATTTGATATTATGCCGTCGCCAGCGCCGCTATGCGGTGGGAGGTTGCATCAGGCACTCCTGCACCATACGGCCTCGGACGAGCACCACAAGCCAACCAGTGATCAAGCACCATCGTTACTACCCAGCGTTCAATTTGATATTATGCCGTCGCCAGCGCCTCTATGCGGCGGGAGGTTGCATCAGGCACTCCTGCACCATACGGCCTCGGACGAGCACCACAAGCCAACCAGTGATCAAGCACCATCGTTACTACCCAGCGTTCAATTTGATATTATGCCGTCGCCAGCGCCTCTATGCGGCGGGAGGTTGCATCAGGCACTCCTGCACCATACGGCCTCGGACGAGCACCACAAGCCAACCAGTGATCAAGCACCATCGTTACTACCCAGCGTTCAATTTGATATTATGCCGTCACCAGCGCCTCTATGCGGTGGGAGGTTGCATCAGGCACTCCTGCACCATACGGCCTCGGACGAGCACCACAAGCCAACCAGTGATCAAGCACCATCGTTGCTACCCAGCGTTCAATTTGATATTATGCCGTCGCCAGCGCCTCTATGCGGTGGGAGGTTGCATCAGGCACTCCTGCACCATACGGCCTCGGACGAGCACCACAAGCCAACCAGTGATCAAGCACCATCGTTGCTACCCAGCGTTCAATTTGATATTATGCCGTCACCAGCGCCTCTATGCGGTGGGAGGTTGCATCAGGCACTCCTGCACCATACGGCCTCGGACGAGCACCACAAGCCAACCAGTGATCAAGCACCATCGTTACTACATAGCGTTCAATTTGATATTATGCCGTCGCCAGCGCCGCTATGCGGTGGGAGATTGCATAAGGCACTCCTGCACCATACGGCCTCGGACGAGCACCACAAGCCAACCAGTGATCAAGCACCATCGTTACTACCCAGCGTTCAATTTGATATTATGCCGTCACCAGCGCCTCTATGCGGTGGGAGATTGCCTCGGGCACTCCTGCACCATACGGCCTCGGACGAGCACCACAAGCCAACCAGTGATCAAGCACCATCGTTGCTACCCAGCGTTCAATTTGATATTATGCCGTCGCCAGCGCCGCTATGCGGTGGGAGATTGCATCAGGCACTCCTGCACCATATGGCCTCGGACGAGCACTACAAGGCACTCCATGAACCAAGTCCCTTCGTTGTCCGGCTTCGACACCTGATCGGGCTTTCTCTTTTTCTCTGTAGTGGTATATGACTCTTTGCTTCAGTCAAACGTCCAGGTAAGTTCATCCTCTCTTTCCAATCCATTTTTCTCGAATACATAACCGTCCCACCGTCTATCGTTTCACCGAAGCGCGCCTTTGGTCCGGAGCGTGAGGTCGTTTTGGCCCTTTTTTTCTGCACCACCAGCAAATCATGCCAGTTCAACCAGCCAGCGATATGGATATCGATCCTGAGCGAGCCAAAGAGATGGGGTACGAGGTGAATACGTCGAATGTCCTCGGAAAGGGTGGGTTTGGGAAAGTCTATCAAGCATCCGTCATCAAACGGCGAGAGTGTGACAGGACATGCGCTCTCAAGCTCAGTTGCTCGGGCATACCGAGCCAGAGTCTCATGAGGGAGTATGAGATTTACCGCGAGTTGGGCGAACGCTACAACGACCGATGGCCCTGGGTCGAGCCACCCTACTTCCAAGAGGGCGGTGAGCTGGTGCTGCCCATGGAGCTTCTCGGAGCGAACCTCGAGTCCCTTCGGAAGCAACCACTCCCTGATGCCACGCTGTTGTGTCGGCTCATCACAGAAACCCTGAACCGGCTTGATGAGCTTCACCAGCTCGGGTTTGTCCATAGGGACATCAAGCCAGCCAACTTTGCCTTCTGCGCCGATGCATCCGATCCATACCGCGTCTATCTCATTGATCTCGGGCTCACGCGAAACATGGACGAGTGCCAGGTCCAGTATCACCGCGAGCAGCCCTTCGGAGGGACCGTGAAATACACCTCCCTCGCCACACACTGGCATATCAACCCGACCTTCAAGGACGATCTCATTTCCCTCGGCTATATGTGGGTGTCGTTGTTGTCACCCACAGGTCTGCCGTGGGACCGAGTCAGCCACATGAAGAAACAAACCCATATGGAGGACACCATCCAGTTCAAGCAGAGAAAGCGCGAGATGATCGAGTCTATTAAATCACGGACGACCATCCGGGATTTGTGTCAGAGCATCCCATCTGCATTAAATGTGCCAATGTTCCAGTTTATTGCTTATTGCAGTGCCATTCCACACCACGTCATGCCAGACTATGACTTTCTAAAGTCACTTTTTACTTGAGCTGTCCAAGTTGAGGGGTGCGCTGTACCAACCAAAGATCTCATGGCCAGCAATCTTGTCGCGCTGCTCTTGGTGCGGGTACTGTGTCGCCAGCCCTAGTATGAGCTTCAGCTTCTCGGAAAAGTCGGCCTCGGGATTCGTCGTCGCCATCGTATAGAGCGTGGGATACTTGGTCTTGAGCCACGATTGCTCCGGCTCGTCCGGGGGCAGTGATACACTACCCCCATTGTTCTGTCTGGATAAGCGGATTGCTTCCTCGTAGATGCGAACTGCCTCGGCTCTGTCCATCTCTGTCATCGAGCCCCACAAAAGAAATCCTTGGCTCAGTTCACATCTGACCCCTGTACGAAAGCGATGGTCGAGATCCGAGTCGGGCCGAACGCCTGGGGTCGGGCCTACCAGTCGCACTGCTCAGCGATCGTCTCGCGGAAAAGTCATTCGGACGGGGGGTCGACGGCATACTGGGGCGACGGTGCGCACCGCTCAGGGATCGTCTGGGTTGTGTGGTAGTCAGGACACTGGGGCGGCGGGAGCTGGTCGAGCGTCGCAGGGTATTGCCGGCATTCAACGAACGTCTTGAAGCACCGAAAGCGGAGGTCGAAGAACTCGGGCGACTGAGCGACGAAACACTACGTCCAAGCGACGGTCGTCGGTTCAGGGTTTGAGACGACCTTGGTTCATATGGAACCCGTCTGCGGCTATTGATCTCGGGAGTGTAATCGGTCTGGTCGTTGTTGGCGCTTTGCTGGAGTTGATCGATGGATGCCGCACGCGAGCGATGCCCCCATGCATCCGATTCGGCATTGGACGACTTGGACAACGAACTCCAGAGACCCCATCTGCTTCCAGTGTGCTTGGGCTCGGAAGACGAAGAAGAAGCAGCGGCGTTGCTGTACATACTCGATCCAGAGCTCCAGCGGCTCAGCGGAGTAGCTCGGTCTTCGTTTGCCTGGCCAGGGACAACGGTGTCGTCTTGTTCGGTGTTATCGCCATAGGTCGGGGGTCTGACGGGTGTGACATAGTTCGGGATGTTGCGATTGCTACCCTTGCGCTCGAGGAGATTGTACTTTGACGTGGGAGTCGACATTCGTCCGGGGGGCACTTGGGAACGCAAGCGCAATGAGCGCCGGTGGTTGTTGTGGTTGTTGGTCGTGGGTTGGTTCTGTTCGCGGGCGTATTCTTCACCCTGCTCTTGTGTCATAAGAAAGAGGTCGACACCCATGACTGGTTGTATGCAGTATATGAAGTTGCTGCATAACACCAGAGAAAAAAAACGCACGATGGCATTTCTCACAGCACTGATGGCGAGGAAGGAAACAGGGTGCACATTGGAGTCAGAAACACACGAAGCCGCGGTAGCAGATGGGCTTCGATGTACTTGTCCTGAAGCGTTGTGTGTGGCGGGGTCACATAGACCTGCCGAAAAATGCAAAAGTACCTTTGTACCACCCTGCGTGCATCGACCACCGCCGGGTTCACTGGTTGATTCGTGACGCTGGCTCATGGAGTGGTTGTTTTGTTACTGACTTGATGATCTCTGATCGCATCATCGAGTCGTTCCCACACCATAACTACTCTATCACTCTTTCTACTCAGATACCATGGAGGGAGCTATCGACCTGTTGAACAGATCGGCGGTGCCTCTTGCAGGCCCAAGCCCGATTCTGAACTATATATTTTCAGAAAAAGAGATATATATATACCACAGATACAAAAACGGCTGTATTGACGTCCGCGGCACCGCAGCACCGCCGATGATCCTCAATTGAACTCAATCAAGAGAGATATCATATATCACTACTCACTATCATTCAATTCAAGAGAGAGTATGGAGTACTTACTCTCTCCATGTCTGATTTGAAGAGATGACTTGCTGTCCAGTCTTGGCTATGGAGTGTAGCATATGGGCCAGTTGACTTTGGCGGCGGTGGGTCCTGCATCGACCCGCTGAAAAATGCAAAGTACCTTTGTACCACCCTGCGTGCATCGACCACCGCCGGGTTCACTGGTTGATTCGTGACGCTGGCTCATGGAGTGGTTGTTTTGTTACTGACTTGATGATCTCTGATCGCATCATCGAGTCGTTCCCACACCATAACTACTCTATCACTCTTTCTACTCAGATACCATGGAGGGAGCTATCGACCTGTTGAACAGATCGGCGGTGCCTCTTGCAGGCCCAAGCCCGATTCTGAACTATATATTTTCAGAAAAAGAGATATATATATACCACAGATACAAAAACGGCTGTATTGACGTCCGCGGCACCGCAGCACCGCCGATGATCCTCAATTGAACTCAATCAAGAGAGATATCATATATCACTACTCACTATCATTCAATTCAAGAGAGAGTATGGAGTACTTACTCTCTCCATGGTCAATGTCCAGAAGGTGATCACTCCCGGTTTATACCAGAGTGAACGTGAAACCCAACGACCAGCCACCAGAAGCAGCAGGTCGTCGGGTTGCTCTCAAATCAACAGCATGAGGGCTCCCAATCCCGGGATGGTGTCGACATGGATATGGTGGCGTGTGCATACAGATGCCGACTTACCTGGGGCCACGGACTATCGGGATCAGTGGTTCGTCACAGCAACGACGTCTCGCATAAAAGGAAAACGAGCCATATGGTTAGAATCGGCAGCGCTCTGGATGGTGGATACCAGATACCCAACCAAAATGCTCAAGAGACGCCTGCAACGTGACGGATACTTACGTGGGGGGAATGGTTGTCTCCCTTGTGTCTCTGGCCTAGCCAGTGCGATAGATATGCCGAAATCTGACTCCAATGAAAATGAAGACGCATGGAAACGTCTCGGTTTCGCCAGACAGCGACCGAGGTCACATCTGGGTCAACGTCGAAGATCCACGGAAAATCATCCCCATGAAAGCCAGGCCAGCATAAACGACCCCAGTAACGTCATCGTCAGGACCACAAGGGATGGAGAAGCCCGAGAGGCCGGGGGGCGGGCGGGGCTTTTGGCTTGCGGGCCGGCCGGTGACACGAAAGAAAAACCGTCCACGTGCGACACGTGGATGGCCACATTCTGGCTGACCTTCGCGTATCTTCCAGGCGGACAGCCCCAACAAGCCAGCCACCACAGGGCCTTCATGCCACCACCCCTCCATCATCGAACATGTGGGAAGAAGACGAAGACATCGATATTTCCGGCCCCCTCTACCCTTGCCGTGTCTTGGAGAAGGGGAGCGTGCGAACATCCCGAAAGTCGGTCGATGTCTTGAAATCGAGTCCAACGACCAGGGTTGTCGTCGGGACATACCAGGGCCAAGCCGTCGCCATCAAGCGGTTTCAGAAGCCACCATATTCGAAGCATAACCCTTTGGTCGCCTTCAACTGGGAAGTCAAGGTATGGGCCGAACTCAACCATCCCAGGATATCGAAGCTTATCGGCATCTACTTTTCCAGCGGTATAGCAATGACGGTGTCCCAGCTCGAGGTGAACAGGGACCTTGTCACCTTCATGTTCACACACCCTCCGGTTGAGCTCCCTATCAAGGTCCGATGGATGGCGGATATAGCAAGGGGTCTTGAGTACCTTCATGCAAATCGATTCGTCCATGGAGACATCAAGCCCACCCACGCCCTCCTGGACGACCAACTGCGTGTCAGCCTGATAGATTTTGTTTGCGCTTTCAAGATCCGCGAGGGTCTAGAAGGCAATTCCATGATCGAGAACAAGGAATTCGACCCCTTTGGAACCTACGAGTATATGGCCCCGGAGTTGGTCCGGAGCCATATTCCTTTGTGTCCAAACTTCAACTCTGATGTCTACGCTGTTGGTGTCTCTTGCTGCGAAATCCTGCTCGATGGCAGAGACGCATGGGACGAACCAGTCGATGATATCGACACAATCCGTCGATTCCACCAGGCCTCCAAGCGACCGACCATATCCGGAGGAATCGACCGTCGGCTTCGACGCATTATTGAAGACTGTCTCTCGGTCAAGGCAACAACTCGACCCAGTTCCGCTGACCTGCATTCTAGGTTCATGGAATTACTCGACACCCATGACGAAACATCGTCAGCGCCACCCAGCGTTCCGCCTTCGGAAACGAGTGTTGAAACTCAAGCCCGACTCGACCCCGAAGATCAATTCTTTGATGCCGACGGCGAGTTCATCGACATGGAACCAGAGGGCCTTGAAGAAGGTGAAATCGTCGAGGAGTATATCCACACAGGCGAGGCCATGCATGTTGATTCAGGTACGTCACATAGCATATTCGACCACTTTCGATATCCCAACTCACTCGACCAATTGATGATTGTGGTACTCACCTAGACCAAGATACCATTGTCGATGATCCGATGAAGAGACTGACCACTGCCCTGCAAAACGAGTCATTCTCCGATGCTATGGAAATCATCGAAGGACTCGACACATCGCAACCCGACACGTACACCAGCGATTCCTGGACAGATGTATTTTCCGCCTGCAAGGAGAAGGATGACGAGCAACAGAGATTCAAGAGGTGGGAACTTGGATACGCCTTCATCCTTGGATGGCTCTATCATCTTGGATTGGGAACCGAGCAGGACAACAAGCTTGCAACAAACTCCTGGTTTCGGGTCTCCAATTTCTCAAACCAAGACGACCTCCTTTCCAAAGCGCTCAAGTCAATGGCAGATCTGTTGAAGAATTGGTGTCAGTGTTTGGGCATCGGCATCCGGGAAAACTGGGGACATGTACATTCGTTTGAAGCTTCGATGGAGCAAAACCGAGCGACCTGGGAATCGTATCCGGAAATCCGTTGGCTGTCGATCTGGTGTCGCTTCGCCTCGAGACGCTCTACCTTTGCCAGAATTATCCTCATTCAATGTCACTCCCTGGGCTTTGGGACTGAACGCTCCAACGATACCGCCATCGGTATGGCGTGTGAACTCGTCGATAGAGAACCCACCAATGAAGCTGCCCGCGCGGTCCTCGGAGAGCTCTACTTCGCTCAATGCAACTACGAACGAGCAATCGCAAATTTGATACAGGCTACGAGCTTCCCCAAGGCCCGATATTTGCTCGGTCAATGCTTCGAACACGGATACGGAGTCACCGCCAACGCCAAAATGGCTCTCTTTCACTACAAAAGCAAGCCCGCTTCCAAATACCAACCCAGCCGTGAGCGAGTGGTTGGCCTCAGTGTCCAGTGAGTCTTTCAATATATTTTTTTGTACCCAAAACGTTCAGCAACACCATCCTTTCACTCTGTGAACCCAAACCCACACAGTCGCAGGTGGTCCTTCAGGGAGCCGACATACTCGGCAGTTAACGTCCGAGCAGCAGTGCGCCCCCCCGCCCGGATATGTCGTCTTATGACGGCGAACGCTGGATTCTCTTGCTTCTTCCAGTTTATGGCATGATCGGCATCCCGGGTGTGGTCTCCTGGATCCGACGCACTCTCGCGTGTGCGCGGGCCTTCATCGTCATCGACGGACATGTCGTTGCTGGTGTCGACCACATCGCCCGTGACATTGTCAATTTCCATTGAGTCTGTGGTATTGCCATCAGACGCAATGTAGGCGGCGATGCGCTGGAGGACTTCGGCTGGGACGGCGGATAGGTTGAGGATCACACCGTTGTCGTTGAACGACAGCGGGACATTGGCCTCTTTGAGGATGCCAAAGACGTAATACTGCTGCTCGATACTGGCATTCTCCACGAGCGACTTGAGCGACGACGGGTTCATGGTGGGGTACTGGCTCATACAAACACACTGGAACGATATGCTTACTGCAAACGCACGAAAGAATGTGGATTCCACCTGGTTTCACCCATCCCAACACAGCACCCCCATCACACAAGTCTGGTTTATTGTGGCGCAGCGCATATACAGTCAAGCAGTCATGCAGGCTTTTGATGCGATCTGTTCAGTTCAAAGGGAATTTTTGGTCATCGTGGTGCACCATTCTGAGTTCCAAAAGACGCTGCAAATCAATACATACCTCGACAGAGCACGTTCAGGACCAGGGTCATCCATGAAGGCTGCACCCTTTGCGTCCAAAGAGGACTTGCTACCACGTACACCCCATCAAATACATGATGGGGTGCGCCCCCAGCGTCCGAAGCCGTTCGGGGCATTTGGTGACTTGGATTGAGTCATGCATGTTGGGGACTTGGAGTGGGTGATCGCTTGCGACTTGCGAAAGGACCTCCTGACCATGATGGATTTGGCCCGGACCGGTCTGTTGTCAGTGCAACCATAAACACATCCACGAAGGCTGTGTGTTGTCGTCTGATCCAGTGTCCGTGGCCACTGGTATACAGACTTGTCACCGTGCGCCTATGACGCACGCAGTCTCAAACGTCAAAGAGCCGTTTGAGCGCACATCTTGTCGTCGATGCCATGATCGGTCGTGCGATCGCTGATGGCGGTTGGTTTGCTGTGGCTTGAATCTTGCGACATGACTACCTGGTGTCATGGATTCACATTCCGTAACTTCACTTGAGTGGCTTCACGAACAACGACTTCACTAACAACGGCTTCATTAACGATGACTTCAACTTATCAGGTTCCTTGCGGCTTGTGACTCGACCACCCGGCCGCTACGAATAGGGCCCGGAACCATAAACATCATGCAACCATGAACACACCCACAAGGGCTGTGTTTTGTCGTCAGATCCCAATGTCCGTAGCCATTGGAATGCAGACTAGCCACCATGCGTCTGTCTTGGTACGCATGTAGCCCCGAGCGTCTGGGTAGCCGATCGGGAACAACACTCCTAGGAATTTGATGACATGGCTTCACTATGAAGACTTCAACTTATCAAGTTCCTTGCTGCTTGTGACTCGACCACCCGGCCGCTACGAATAGGGCCCGGAACCATAAACATCATGCAACCATGAACACACCCACAAGGGCTGTGTTTTGTCGTCAGATCCCAATGTCCGTAGCCATTGGAATGCAGACTAGCCACCATGCGTCTGTCTTGGTACGCATGTAGCCCCGAGCGTCTGGGTAGCCGATCGGGAACAACACTCCTAGGAATTTTGATGACATAGCTTCACGAACAACGGCTTCACTATGAAGACTTCAACTTATCAAGTTCCTTGCTGCTTGTGACTCGACCACCCGGCCGCTACGAATAGGGCCCGGAACCATAAACATCATGCAACCATGAACACACCCACAAGGGCTGTGTTTTGTCGTCAGATCCCAATGTCCGTAGCCATTGGAATGCAGACTAGCCACCATGCACCGTGAGGCGCTCCCAGTCACGAACGTCAAAGAGCCGATCGCTTTGGGGTTGACTGGGAAACCCGCAAACCCAGCGATCGCGAAGGAGGTGTCCGTCATATAGCCCCACAGATCCTACGTCGTCCGGCGGACACGGCCGGCGGCGACTGGCGGAGTCTGCTATCTCCACACCCTGCCGCAGCCGGACATCTGCCAGGACCATCAGCTGACCCATGTCCACCATACTCACCCAATGAGCGCCGATCGGAACTTGGTATCTCCGCCGGTGGAGGTGGCTCTGAATAGACCCCTCCTCCAGGAATGAACCACACAATTGATACCTCGTGACGCGTGCTGTGCTGACAGGTCAGCCGCGGTCGGCGGCACAGGGACGACAACAGCAACCCGCCGGAGCAACGGGGGTAGAGAAGGAGCAAATGGTCACATGATGGTGTATTGGTCGAACACTCCGGGGAAGCGCTTGACGAAGTCATCCCAGCGGGTAATGGAGTTGTTGATAGAGAAGCGCTGGATGAGGATGACCGTGATATAGGGCAAGAGCGCTTCGGCATAATCCATTCTGGTGATGGGGTAGCGATAGGGTGGGGGTTGATCGCGCATCTGGCTGAAGACCAGTTGATCAACGGCAATCTGGCGTTGGCGTCGAAGCGTGGGGATAAGTGAATACTCCCCGATTCTGCCACGGTGCTTCTTGATGAGCTTCCAGTTTTTGAACCAGTCGTCGATCAAGACAGCACACTGCTTGAAGAGCTTCTTCTCCATGCTCTGAATGTCAAAGTCTCGCATCCCACATCGGATGTGTCTGACTTGCATCGATGCGGTGAGTGCGGGAGTGCGCTGAACAATGTCACGCAAGCCAATATATCGCAGAGATACATTTGGGCGGTGTTTGCAGCTCTGATCGACGTCGACGTGCGGAAAGAGCGTGTCCGGGTTGATGTTCTTGAAGCCGTGATCGATCGTCAGCTGAGAATAGTGTCGAATGAACACTGGTCTGGGTGGACGCACCAAGACACCAGGCGGGGGCGAATCAACCACCGTAGCACTCTGCCTGGTGGGCGAATTCATGGGGGATGGGGACGGGAGAGTGATCGGAGAAACCGAAGGAGTGGACGGGCTCATGCCAAAGGTGGGAGTGAGAGGAGATGATCCGCCGATCATATTACCACGGCGCTCGACCGTTGCGGCAGTCGATGGACCGGGGCGGCATGGAGAGGAGCTACTACTGAGACGATCGCCCCCCTGGTCAAGGACTGAGAACGATATCATAAGTTAGGATACACATAGCGTTCCAACGAGCTGGCGAGCGATTAGATCAACGCATACCGTCCATCCAATCGCTGGAGAGTCTTCTCTTCTTGGGCGGCATTCTCATGGGCTCTTGATCGAGGCGATCGCTCGCAGCACCGGACAAGAGACGCTGTCTTCTGGTCATCATCATTGGAGGATGGCTGGATGGGTCGACAAAGGGCGAAGGGTGAAGGGTGAAGGGTGAGGGTGAAGGCTGGATGGGAAGGCGGCTGGGGAGCGGACTTGATTTATATCCCCGCAGGCCGCTCGACGCTCACATGATACACCCACCCCACCACTCGGACACTCACATCCTCACGATCCCCCCCACACAGAGCGGACATGTTGTTGCTCCCGCGCATGGCAGTTCACACGGATACTGATTGTGTATTTTTTTGGATTTTTCTACTGATTTTTCTACTGAATAAGAGCGCTGAAAGGGGCGCTGGATTGGAGTACTGAATGGGGGTACTGAATGGGGGTACTGAACAAGAGCGCTGAATTGTGGTACTGAATTGGGGTACTGAATGTTATGAAGAAATAAAGGCTACGAATAGAAGGCTGATCAATCCAGGCGAATGGCGTTTGCATACTTGGACGAGAAACTCCTCCAGCCACTCCTGTAGCCGTCGTTCTTGATCATACGATCGTAGTTGAGCATGCGGAAGAGGATGACAGCAATGTACGGGGCGAGGACGGGATGGTACTTCGAGAAACCATTTCTAGTTTCGAAGAACGGAGTGGGAATAAACACTGTCGAATGATCACGATATAAGTCAAATTTGTGGGTTTGGACAAATTCGAAGACGATTCTGTCACAATAACCATAGATACCACCACTCCAATGAGAAGTGGATTTGAAATCGACATAGAGTGCGAGCAACTCTGGATTCTGAAGAACAATGTCCTTGACGGTCAACATCGGTTCAGTGTTGCGGCGTCTCTGTTCATTCGACTCGGTGATGGCTTGACGAAGGAAGGTCGTGTCGATATCTGAAAACACAGTGTCAACATTGACATCCTTGAAGTGACACACTATCTTACAACGGGCTGGATTTTGATACAAATATGTTAGGATATCGTGAGGCGTTACTCACGGACAACATGTAGGTGCGCCGTGCACGGAGCAATCTCGACTTACATCGTGTGTACTTGTCATTGTCGCCTTCGTGGCGCTTCTTGGAAGCGGACACATCGTTCATATCGCGAACATGCTTTCGAGGCTGGTCACGACCATCTTCATCGGCTTCAACTGGGGCCGGGCGCTTGGGCGCAGGACGAGCGGACATGTCGCGACGGTCATCTTCAGTGGGCGTGGGGGAAGCATAGCCACTTGCAGCAGCGTTGGCTGCTGGGGCCCGAACGCCTTGGGCCGATGGAGGGGCGGCGGGTTCGGCAACGACAGAAGGTACTGGAGCCGCACCACTGTCGGTGAAGTCGGGATCGCGAGCTCCAGCAGCCCCGAAGGTAGGAGCGGTGGGTTGATCGGGCTGAACCGTCGTAGCGGGTTCGGCAACGGTAGGGAACGCGGCTAAGATATCGTCCAAGTGGAGGGAGTCGACGGAGATTGGGTCACTGGAATCGGTAGCTCCAAAGTCAGGAGCATGAGGGGCGGCATGCGCGAAGGCATGAGCCGAGGGAGCAGGCGGATTCCTGGGAGCAGGATCGGGGCCAGGGGGAGGACAACCGGGGGCGACCGAAGAAGCCGTCTTCTCATCGGCGATTGGAACGCATGGCCAGCTTGCGGATACAGGTGCTGGTCTCGATGATCTCGTGGTTAATAACCTGAATGAACTCCGGGCTCGCGAAGGAGGGATTGGCGATGGTATCATTCCTGACTTGCGATACAGTCAAACCAGAAAGAAACGGGACAGTCACTTCCTGGCATCAGCGACACAGGTCTGCTGATCCGTAGACCCCAGTGGGCAGGTCGTGCGATTGTTTCCCGTCCTGGTTGGCAATCTCTTTGTTTTGGGTGGGTCCGGAAGCACAGTCTTGAATACACTCGGTCCGATCTCCTGTGGCGATGATCGACTGGCATACCGAGATCATGTTCCTGGCTGCATTGATGTCTCGATCCCACAGCGTATGGCAGCTTGCTACAGCTCCGGACAAAGTGTGGTTTCTCGATATCAAGATGCTCGACCTTCTCGAGTCGCTTGGCTTCCCGACAATGTGAGCACACCTGGGATGTGTTGAACTCATTCACCGAGCACACATGGATCTTGGAGACGGCTCGGTCTGGTGGGCGTCTCTGGTGATGGTGGAATTGCTCAAAGTACTTGGCAAACCTGAGTCTCCTGGGACTGGATGCGTATCCCCTCCCTTGCTTCCACGAAGCATTCCCAAAGGCAATCACCACGTCGGTCTCCCTTGGTGCCTGGTCGATGACTTGCTTGCACATCTCGTGGACAGTGCGCTGTCGCTTGCTGTGGAGATCGAGTCGCTTGAATCGCCGTCGCCGGGTCAGGCTGAAGTACAGCTGCTTTGTCCAGCATGTCTCCATCGAACACATGGCGAATGTATCGCAGGAAGGAAGCCAACCCAGGGATCTTGGGACTTGGTGTGGTGCTCATCCATTCCTGCAGATCAAGGGCCTTGTGGGTGCTCTGGATCCACTTGGTCGCCTGACTGGTGCCAGTTCGATGCTGGTACTCCTTGTTGGAGAACGAGACGATCTTCTCGTTGGCACGTTGTGTCTTGGTCACCTTGACACCGTCTTGCTCCTGGATGGATGGTTGACCGGGTGCTCGATTGACAGCGGTGAAGATCGATCCCACTCCAGGGTCGATCCCGATCCATGTGGTCCGAGAGTCGTCAATGGGACCGACCCCTGGTACTGGATCTTCTGCTCGGGAGTGAGTGTGTTCACCTTGGTCTTGGGTACCGGCTTGGTATCAGGGTCATTCTTCCTCAGAATCTTGTACCTGAGTGTGGTGATCGAGCACCCGACCCCATCGGTGGTGATCTCACAGCCAAAGAGCTGCTTCCCCTCTTTCCTGACACCAAAGAGTCTCGATTCCAGCTTGAAGTTGTTTCGCCAGAAGATCTCTTGTTTTGTGGTGCCATTGACCTTGGTCTTCAGGTCGTCCCACTTGAGCCCAGTGCCAGTCTGAGATCCAAGAATTTGATACATAGCTTTGGTATCGAGCTTGACATACTTTGCTCTGGCATCGCAGAGCGGGACCAAGGTGCACTGTGCTCGAGGGATGTTGAGGCGCTTCTTGGTCTGGGCAAGCCGGTCGGTGAGGCGCTTGATCCGCTTCATGTTCACAGCGATCTTCTTGTCCACCTCCTCGTGCTGGGTATGGAGTGCGTTGTATTGATCCGACTGCCTACGTTCGATAGCGCGACACATCTCCTCATTCAGTCGTCCACGATCTTCTTTCAGATCATTCGGTATCCCCTCACGAGCCTGGGGATGATTCTGTTTCGAATGGTCGCCACGAACAGTGTCTCCTTTCGGTGGGTCAGGCGAGAGACTTCACTGGCCAATACTGGTACGACTTTGTACAGGCTCTGGTGGCTTGTGTAGCGAAAGCTGTAGAGCTGCTCGGCATGGTGTGTGAAGGATTTCCTCAGATCAACGAGGAGTGTATCGGAGAGGGGATTCTCCATCAGCTTCATGCACTCGTCAACGTGTGTATGTCGCTTTGCACATCCCTTGGGAGCAATCCAGTACCAGATTGCAGAATCGACGGAGGAGAGACCAATACCGATCGAGAATGTGGGTCTCGCAGTTGACTGCATAGGTTTTGATGGCCAGATCTATGACTTGGGACCCAGTACCCTTTGGAAGGGATACTGGAGGTAGGACACACGAATCGCTCCATGTACTTCGATACAGTTCATATGTGTCGAGGAGATGCCTGTCATCTTCTGGGGTGTTCGTCCTGGCACCCACTGTTCCTCTCTGCACCATGTTGAAGCACTTTCGAACGAACGAAGGATCGCTCGACGACACAGTGGGGATGGTGATGCCCTCGTCCAAGCATCGCCTGAGATGCAGCTCCAGGAGCCGAGATGCTTCGTACTGCACGTGTGTCATGGCCCTGGACAGTCTCCTCGATCTTGTCGTGTAAGGCGCCGTTCTTGATGATGGCGCCAAGAGTGCACTTGATGATCGAGTACTCTGCCTTGGCATACTCGTTTGGTTCACAGGCAGGCTCAGTAGAGCTCCAGAGAGGTTTGTTCGCTGAACATTTGGAGCTGTTGCTTCTCCCATGACCCTCCTGTTTGCAGGTCGGGCAGATCAGGACCTTGGGTGCAGGCATCTCGACCACGAGGGCCGGAACAGCGATGTCTTCACTGGACTCGTCTGGAGGGGGTGCTTGGCAAACGGCCCCAAAGACAGACGCTGAGTCAGAAGGGGGGGCCAACTCGGTTCGGGCCTTGCACTTCTTGGTGAAGGGCTTGACATGGTTGGTCAGACCACAGGCACGACACGATTTGATGACTAGTTTCTTGGCAGCATGTTTGTCGCGGGGCTGCCCAGGATCTGGATTTGGGTCGGGAGGAGATTTTTTCTTGCGGGGAGGCATCTGTCGCGATTTCGACACCCCGCTGGTTCTACCCATAGGCAAGAAAAAACCAAGGGTGATTTTGACGCACTTTTTCGATGGTATGATTCACGCCCAGAAACGCATCGCGCGCTCAATCAGCCGTGGGAAGACATCTGGAAGCACCCTCCGCACGGCGGACTCGAACAGGGTCACCATCCCGATCCTGAACCCCTCGGAGGCATTCAGCGTTGCTGCCTTCCTGTACTGATGCTTCACAATCCCAAAGAAGTTCTCGATGGGATTGAAGTCGGGCGAGGCAGGTGGGGTGAAGATCACTGACCATCCTCGGCGATCGATGCAGTCCAGGACAGCCATTGTCTTGTGCATGCTGACATTGTCCATCACAATCACAGAGTCGTCTGGGAAGGTCGCTCGCTCAAAGAACTCGACCATCGAGTGTGTCTTGAATGATGTGGGGATGTACATGCGATGCAGCACACCAGAGTGGTTGATGGCAAATGCAGCCGAGACAGACTTGTGCTTCATGTGATTGCGCTGGCGAAGCGGAGCACCCTTCGGTGAGTATCCGTAGAGAGGGAAAATGGATCTCCTGATCCCTGTCTCGTCGACAAAAACCAATCGTCGTGGGTCGATGGAGCGGACCTGGTCCCTGAACTGTGCCACTCGCTCATCCAGTCGCTTGGACTTGTAGAGGTGTGTTGCCCTCTTGTGTGAGAGACCTGCTCGCTGGATGGCAGTGTGGCAGAGTGAGAGTGATACTTTCCTCTGGAGGATGGACTCGAGCTTGCATCGCAGCACAGGACCAGTCTGGAACGGGTCCTGTTCAATCAGGGTGCGAATGACTGGACATGCCTGCTCGAAGAACGTGGATCTGCGAGCTGGGACCCGGGATGGGTCATCCAGCTTGCATCCTCGGTGCCATCGATGGATGGTGCTCTTGGATACACTGAATATGGAGGCGACCTTACGCAGGCTATGGATGAGGGCGTAGCATCGCAATGCGGCGGTGCGAAAGTCGGATGTGTGGCGAATGGTCATGGCCAGCGCGCGATGGTTTTGGGTAACAAAATATTCGATCAATGGTCAAAACCCGGGTGTCCCGTTTTTTATTGGATTGGCTGTAGTTGGCTGAAATGTCCTTGGAGGACCACCATGCCATTTTCATCACTGGGCTTCTTGGGGATACACTCGAGGCCGAATCCATCGGGCACGAAGCGAGCCATCTTCGTATATACGCCGTCTTTACCGAGATTGTAGAATCCCAGCTTCTGATGACTAGGTGCGGGAACGGGCTTATCTTTGTGCTTGTAGAAGACCCGCTGGAAGAGTGCGATGTCGGGCGACGGGACGTAGCGGAAACTGCCGTAGGGTGGTATTTCCCTGCGTTGGTGGGTCTCGAGGTCGAATTTGGAGAGAAGTTTGATGGCGTCAGCACGGTAGCTGCAGTCTGCATTCAGGGTTGCAGCTTTGAGTTCGAACAGGAACTCGTCGATTTTGTCAGCAGCCCGACAGTAGACGCTGACATCTTTCGGGTTTCTCAATCCATATTCTTGGAAAGACTCGCCGAAAAGATCGCGGCATTTGTAACGACCTCCGCGAATGAGTTCGAGCTCGAGGAACCAAAGATCGGTAGTATTGTTGGGCGCCTTGATGTTGGTGCGAATGTAGCACCCCTTGGGCTTGGCGGGATCGGCAGAAGGCGGCATGGTAGAGCAGCTGTGGGAACGACTATGCGTTACAACGAATCCGAGTGGCCGCCTGTTGCTTGCTGCTGCTGGGCACTACTGGGGACTGGACTTACCTGGAGGCGAATGAATGCGCTGGGACGAGTAGGCGGGCGATGCTGCTGTCCTCGGGAAGCCAGCGGCGGCTTTTATGGGGGTGCGAGGGCGTGGGATGGGAGACATGACAGATCGGATTGCAGCGGCAATCCGGGCGGCGTTTCGCTGGCGACAGCGGTTTGGCATCCAGCCTGGCCAGCTGACCACGCATCGAAGGGTTCAGCGCGATTGTGGCGCAGGGAGTCCAGCCCAGCGATCGCACCACGGTCGCCGGCGGGCGGAGGAAACACCATGTCCGGCCGGACCCCTCGGTCAGGTGATCGCGTCGACCTCCCAGCCCAATGCACCAAGTCCTCATTTCGCTACTTGGACTTGATCAAGTCGAGGCAAACGCAAATGTATTTTTCAGTTGGAGCGAGTGAGCGAGTTGATCAGTGCTTGGGAGCGTTGGTAGTCCACTGGCACACCAAAACCATGGAAATAGCATTGAGCTAGTCGCTCGGTTGCTTTGCGGCAGCCCTGCATCGACGACCGTTGGAACCAAGTGACTGCCTGCACCGGATCGGCAGACACACCATGTCCGTGAGCCAAGAAATCTCCGATGATGAGCTGCGAGCCTGCATGACCGAGCTTTGCGGCCGACATGAACACCTCTGCTGCTTTCACCAAGTCCTTTTCAACGCCAACTCCATCGATATAGCATCCTCCCAAGTTATAGAGTGCATCGAGATTCCAGCAGTGGGATGCCAGATTGAACCATTCAAAGGCCTTGGGGAGATCTTGCAACACAATCTCGCCTTCCAAAAACACATTGCCCAGGCAGCACATTGCCGGGGCATACCCGCGATCTGCGGCGGATTTTATCCAGAAGAAGCACTCGCCGTTCGACTGGGGAGTACCTCTGCCCTCGCGAGTCAGGATGGCGAGGCCGAGTTGTGCCTCGGCGTTGTCGTTGAGGGCGATGATTCGGACCATGTCAGCACCTTGCTTTGCTTGCACAGGGCAACCCAGTCCCTCCAGGTAGCAGCGAGCCAGGAGGAGCTGACCCGGCCAATGGCGGCGAGCAGCGATCTTGGCCCACTGGAAGAGGAGCTTGAAGATGGGCTCGGTTTGGCTGCCTGGTGCCGGGGGATTGCAGATGAACGGCGTTGCCTTGAAGGAGATGCTGCCGTATCCGGAAACGTCGCAGAGATCGACTAACACCTGGCTCGCATATCGAAGGTTGTGGTATACGTATGGTGCCCTGCTGACCGACATCCAGAGATTGAAGGCCCGGGTGTAGTCGATAGCCGTGCCGATACCCAGCCAATTCATCCAGGCCAGATGGAAGCGGGCATTTGGATCCAGATCGCTCTTGGAACACATGAATGCAAAGGCATCGATCCAGGCCTGGTGGTTGCTGGGAACAATGTCGATCAACACATCGGTGGCACCGACGACTTGATTATAATTGGGGCTGATCAGCATCTCGAAGAGCTCGTCGAGCGATTCGACGTCAGGCTCGGAATCGGTCTTCACGGCGGGTTTCTCTACGAGCATGGCGATGGATGGAGAACGATGAAGGAGAAAGATCACAACGCCCCACTCACGGACATGAAGAGCCCACAAATATGTCCGAGGGATGAAATCACATGTTCATTCTTTATTGGATGCACTGCATGTAACGCTGGTACACAGGCCAAATGATGCGGCCATTCCCATGAGCTTCTATAGACGTCCTGAGCAGCCCTGTCAAAGCGTCCCGCACCTGGGGGTCATTCCCAGCTGCGACAATCGCATCCAGCGGGATATCGGCACCCCAGCTTTGAGCACGATCCCAGGCATGGAATGAGAACTGGCGTCTCGAGAGAATGAACACGCGCGCCATATGGCTGCCCTGGAGGTACGCTTTGATGACAGCCAGGTGGTAGATGGAGGTGATTGTGGAATTGCGAGGAACACCAAGTGCGAGCTTCTTGCAGTTGGCCAACAAAAATTCCCTGTCTGCCTCGGGTTCTATCGTTAGCACCCAATTCACAACAGAGACAGCACCTGGGACATTTTCAATCGATCCAGAGTTCAAGATGTCAAAGAGTCTTCCAATGCTGAGGGTGTGGCGTTGCATTGCGCATTCTGCGAGCAGATTCAGCGCTCTGGTTATATCGACCCCAGTGCCATAGCCATAGCGGTAGCATTCGTAGAGCTTGTACCGGGCATCTACATGAGTAGACTCCATGGTCTTGAGCCACTCACAGAACTGGACGCGGACTTTGGGATATCTGGACTGCATCAGTCTCGTCCCATTGTCGATGATGAACTTTATGAGCGACTCGGAGTCGGTTCGCTTGCATTCGTCGAGCAGGATGGTGAGACTTTGGGACTGCAGCGACACGTTCAGCCGGCGGTGGATCAATATCCACATGGCCGTTGGGACGTGCTTGGCTTCAACGCAAGTTTGGCATTTCGAAACCCATTGGTCATCGTGCATTCCCCTGCAGCTGACGAGTCGGACAAACTCTGCCGAAACCACAGCGTTCGGGATCGACTTGATCCATTTGAGGGTGTAGGGACGCCATTCAGTGGGGAAGTACTGGGTCAGCGCAGCGCAATCGTTCGGGAGGAGCTCGGTGTCGTACTTGGCGTTGAACCATGCGGCCCAGATGCGGATGCCGACCGACTTTGTCGAGAGGACGGATCGCATGTCACTGGAGGTGGCTCGGAGCTTCACGAGGCTTGAAGGAGGGAGCTTGTCGAGCAGCTCTGGGATCTGGAAGATGGTTTGGACGGCAAAAGGTGTGGCCTCGACCCCGGCATTGGCGAGCTCTTCGTGGATGCATCTGCGCTTGGCAGCGCGGGTGCTCATCGAGCGGGTGATGCGCTTGGTACTGGAGGAGGACATGATGCAGGTAGCCTCGAACACACCCACCTCACAACGGCGTCTCTTATACCCCATGCTCTATGCGAAACGTGTGAGGAGATGGACAGTGTGTGCTTTATTGGCTCGGACAGGATCCTTTGCATGACACAGGGTTCAGTTGTCGACTCCGTCCGACTCGGGCTTGCTGGTCCCGCGGGCGCGACGGCGTGAACGTCCCCAGTGCTTGACCAGGTTCCTGGTCGGATATTTGACACCGACCTTGGCGGCTCGATCGTAGGAGGGGCGTTGACGGACGGGGGGCTGCTTGCAGGGGCGACCTGGCTTGCGCTTGGCCAACGGGGATGGCTTCATGATGGCAGCAGGAGGCTCTGGACGATCGCTCTCTCCAGAGTCCGAGAAGATCTCGCTGAAACTGATGGATCTGAGGACGTCGGCGGTGCTTGGCTCCATGGCGGCGGTGGTAGAGATGGCGACAAACGGATTTCACCCAGTCCTTCTTGTATGGCGCTGCCATCATCGGAGTCGGAACTTTGCAAGGCGAAAGACGGGGGCATTCCCATGACAGGATCCTCCTCGGGATGGAGGGCGGGGGGGAGGCATCAGCTGCGTGGATGTCGCTCATGGCCACTCTATCTCCGCCAGACTCCGATGTTCAAAAGGCGAGCGAAGTCGTCGATGGCGATCGGTCCGCATCTCGCCTCTCGAACGATGACCCACGACGCTCCCCCCAGCACGATTGTCGACGCCGATGACACACTCCTCGTGAACTTCACCCACCTGGTCGATCGCCCTCACCTTGGGTTGACGATGCTTCAAGGCCGCAAGCACCGCTCCGTGTCAGCCCTCGTCCCTGGTGAAGACACCCGACGCAAGATCAACTCGATGATACGAGTGTGCGTTCGCAAGGCCCGAGAAGAAGCCCTCGCCCCGGCGGTCAAGCGACTCCTCGAAAGCGGTGGCGACATCTGGCTGCGCCGAGCCATGGTGCGGCCGCCGCGCGTCCAAGTCGGTGACCTCTTTGTCTCGCTGGAGGAAGCTCGGACGCTCTTTGCCATTCACATCGTCGTGTTTGGTGCCACCGTCCCGGCCCTCGAGCAAAGCGTCGTCCGATTCTTGAGCAGCCTCCCACATGACATGAGCCATGGCAACGAAGAAAAGGTTTTGTCCGGACGTAGACCAGGACAGCGGCCCAGACACCAAATGGCGACCCCCAGCACACGCCTCGCCGGACCAGCCAAGCGCACGCGCACAGCCCTCGCCCACCTTCGCCAGCAGGTCCAGTGCATCGACGGGCAGCTGGAATCGCTTCATGCCCAGCGCTCCGACCTCTGTGCTCAGATCGAGCAGTTCTGCGAGTAGGAACAGATCAATACATCGTTTTTTTCTGCCGTATCCACAAAGCCATGTCCACCACGATTGTCTTGATTGTGATCATTGTTTCGATGCTGTCTCTCTCTGTGGGTACAGGTGTGGGTCTGTATTTGTACATGAAGCAGACGTCAACCACACCAACAGCAGCGGCATCGAGCGCCAGTCCAGCGTCGTTGTCGCCAGCGAGCGCAACGAGCAGCCCGTCAACGCCAAGTCCAGCAACGACCAGCCCGCCAGCACAAAGTCCGCCAACAACGACGGCAACGACGGCAGCGACGACCGGCTCGCCAACGCAGAGTCCAGCAGTGACGACATCTCTCACAGCACCACCGCCTCTGTCGCTGACCTCTGTATCGACTCCAGCACCAGCACCAGCACCAGCACCAGCACCAGCACCAGCACCAGCACCAGCACCAGCACCAGCACCATCACCAGCTCCAGCACCAACACCTACTCCTGCACCCGCTCCAGCTCCTGCTCCGGCTCCTGTTCCGGCTCCGGCTCCTGTAGTGGTCGTCCAGCCTGTTGTCCAGCCCGTGTTTGGAGCAAATGCATACACCATAATGCGAACGAGTGACAATACATCGAGAGGATTAGCCGTTGTCGGTGGTAGTGCCGCTGCAGGAACACCTGTCGTGTATTGGGACTTCAATTCACAGGCAGGCGCTCTGATGGGCTACGATGCCATGAACAAGCGTATCATCGACCAGAACAGCATGATGTGCCTTGGACCAAAGAGTGGAGCCAGCGCTGCCAACGGCGACCCAATCGTCATAAAGCCATGCGATATCACAGACCAGTCGCAGACATGGGTCGCTGGCGCAAACGGACAAGGCAACTATACCTGGGGCGTGAACCAGAACAAGTGTCTCGATCTGGCGGGGAACTCCAGAAACAACGGTACGCAGGTGGACTTGTCAGACTGCGTTTCGGGTCTCTCTGGTCAGAGCTTCCAGTTTGGCACTGCCGCGGCGACACCCCCGGCTCCAGTAAGCGCATTCGCACAGGTTGCCCAGGCACTTTCCATTTCGCCCCCAGCATCGACACCTGCTCCAGCACCTACCTCTGTGCCGGCTGCCACCCAGGTAACATCCTGGTGTGCATTGATGAAGAGCAACAACACCGTGGTCGCTGCGTTGGTCCAGAAAGATCCGTCGACGTGGTCATCCGCGGACCGACTCACAGCACTCCCACTCATCGTCAAATACAGCGGCTTGAGCAATTCCGATGTGCAGTCCTTCAGCAACTCACTCCTCTGGGCCATACTCTCCATGGCGTGTGGTGTTGTTGGTACGCCTGGGGCAACACCGAGCGACGTTAGTACATGGAGCGACGGAAACCGCAACGCCGTCATTTCGGCGATCTATGCTGCTTTGGGCAGCAAAGATTCGATTGCGAGTGTGGGATGGCTCCAGAGCCTGAACAACTCACAGCTCGGGCATCTCTGGTACGGCCCTCAGATCGCCCCAAGTGCGGCATTGGCTCAGTGCACTTCGGCCAACGTACCTATGATCCGAGCGTATGGAAATGCCGATGGCTCGGCGCTGAAGCCATGGCACGATCTTACCCCAGTGCACGGCAATGCTGTCTCCAACCGGTAGTCACTCGTTGGTTATGCAGGCCGACGGAAACCTGGTTTTATACAACAACATATCCGGGCAAGCGATCTGGGCATCCGGAACGAACGGAAAGGGAAGTCCACCTTTCTTTGCCAACTACCAGCCAGATTACAACTTTGTGTTATACGATGGAACTGGAAAGCCACTCTGGGCCTCTGGCACGAACGGTCAGCCCTCTGATCGGCTAGTGATGCAGGACGACGGGAATCTCGTCACCTACCTGGGTACTACACCAATCTGGTCGACGGGGACCTATGGCAAGTGAGCCAAGGTCTTTCGCCAGCGCGCTGGACTTTGCACCTCCCAGCACACCGGGGGGAAGGGCTGTTGGCTAGAGCTCCAGGGAGTGAAAAGCCCAATGAAAAGGGAAAAGGCGCCTTTCGCTGGTTCAGCCCAAGGCGCGTCTCTCGTTGCCGCTGTCCAAGGACAGTGCACCAATCAAACACTGGACCATGGCGCGCGTCACCGTGAGTCATTATAAATTGGTGCTTGCCAAAGCCACACCAGCGATCCAACCAACAACAGCATAACTAGAATAGCAATTTTTCCGGCAGTTACTTGTTGATTGCTGGCCTGGCCAGTGACCATTGATCTGTAGCGCTTTATGACGTCTGCAAGTGTTGCTACATTCACTAGTGTTTGCAGCGACAAGGAGTGTAAGATAATGCAGTCCTTCTTTGTACTCGTGTAGCGGTGGTTGCGACTGAGCAGGCGTCGTGGGAATGGCGGGTGTGTCGGGCACGACGGAGTACTCGGAATAACTACCGTCAATTGATCTGTACTGTCCCCCACCGGCGCACTATCGCTTGATTCTCTGCTACCATAGCTCGTCAACACCCACGCCCATCTCATCGCTCATCACACACCCATCGCCACAAAAATCTTCATCGCTCCACATCACTGTCGCCGCTCTCGGGCCCTCGCTGATCCCCACTCTCGATATCCGACTCAAGCGGGCTGTCTGAATTGGGGCAATAGCCGGGTAATACTGTGAAGAGGCGGTGCCGAGGCGGGATGAAGCGCAAAGGCGCCTGTCGATATGGCGCAACCGGGCCATCTGTGTTTGCACTCTCTCCCTGGGCTCGGTTGAGCAGCAATGGCGCAGGGTTGCTCTAACAAAGTCGATCTTGCAGCAAGATCTCTCTTTTCTATTCCACCCTGCTGAGGATGTTATACCTGAGGTGCCGATTGTGTACGTGCATCATCGGTCGCTGGCGAAGCTGTGGAGTATGTGCCTTTCGCTTGTCTGAGTCGAGGGGGGTTGTGAACACCGGTCCGCAATCTAATCATTCGGCGACGGGGCAAATCCAACGAACCACTCGACCGCCTGTGTTGTCCGCCTCTCATCGACCGCTGCTTCTTTCGGTGCTGTTTTCTTTCTTCTAAGTAATGTGGCCTGGAGCGGCGGCGGAGGAGGAGCAGGGGGTATTTTGGGCGTTGGGCATTAACGGACGGGACGGGGTTGCTGCTGCCTGAGGCCGCGAGACTAAATTGCCCTGCCGCCGCCCCCTCTCCAGCTCTCTCACCCATCGTTCGCTCCGTCTCCGCCCTCACTCTGAGCCAACGATACCTCTATTTTTCGCTTCCACCAGACCGGAACCCGCCTCTCGCACATCTTTTCTTCGCCCAAGGTCCTCCTTGTCACGCAGGCCAGACCCCCGTAAAAACCTGTAACCAGGTCGCTTCCGCTACCGTGCCGAATGGCCCCTTCCACCACCCGCTCCGGTCATGGCAGCGGAAATACCACCGCAGATTATCCAAATGTTCCCTCCTCGGTGCACCCCAGTCCCCAAGCAGCTCGAGAGGTAAGTGTTGTCACCCGCTCTTGTTCACCCGTTTGAGCAGCTCCTGGCAGCGCCTGCTTGCGAGTGACGGTCTAGCGTTCTAACGACATCCTCCGATGGTCACAGGGAGCTACACCCCCCAAGCGACAGTTGTCTCTAACAGCTACCAATTCCGCCAATAAGCGCCCAAAGGTAAGTCAGCGTCACCCCCTTTCGCCGATCTCGCTGCTGTCCCGAGGGGTTGTTCGGCAGTGTATTAGACGCCACCGATACATAGACCACGGACGCCTCCTTCTGACACTCTGTTCCATGCCTATCCTCCGCCGTTTATCACTACCTCGGTGCCGACACTGAACAGAACGACAAGCCGACCGCAGCCCCTGCTTCCGAGCCTCCTCAGGTAAGCTTTCGCCGTTTGCTCCGTGTCTGTGACACACTCCCAGCGCTACCCCGAGCCCTGACCGTTCTTCCGTCGTTAACACTCGCGACGCTGCCTCCCAAACCATTCCCGAACAGGCCACCACCCCTCCTGCCAAGGTAAGCCTCCAACACACCACACACACACACACACATGTTCCATCATGGCAGGAGTTGTTGTCACTCGGCATGGTGTTTGATGTTCATTGCTAGTGGGTGGTGACAACTCCTGATCCACTGTCGAGAACACTGTATCGTTATCAGTGTTCTTGATGGATCTGATGTTCCAAGGAATCGTTACGATTCAGTGTCTTTGTCGCCCGGGTCCTGGGGTCAAATCTGTTTTCGGAGCGGTGCCGGACCCTTTGATACCGATATCGCCGCCACAGTCCACCATCGGCCGCTGTGGTCGTGTGGATGGGCACGCGGTTGCTGACTTATCCGCTGCCACCAGCCCCCGCCACCACCCGCCTGTCCGCCGGGATGAGATAGCCGGTCACATCCTAACCCGTGCCGGCCGTTTCCTGCGCCGCTCTCATTCCGCCTTTTTTTCGCCGTTTGTGAGATTCAGGATGCTGGTAGAGAAGGTGGAGACAAGGGTACTTCCAGCAAAGCTGCCTCGGACCAGGTGAGAAGGAAGTGGGTGGTGCTCCGTTGCAAGTACTTGAGCCTCCAGCCGCTTGGATCGTGGGGTGGATGCTAATCTGGCTTCTATTGGACTCCTGGACGTGGACAGGGAGAGACCAACCTTCCGACTCCCTCACCAGAGCCCCATGAGGTATGTGCTCGTTAGGACGGTACTATGTACTCTCGCGTATGCTGTCGATGTACCCCACCCACCCCGCTTGGCGTTTAGCTTTGGCTCTAACAGCGCCTTTGGTTTGTCGGTAGGGTCGGAAGGACGGCGGTGGTCAAGGCGGTACCGCCGCCACCATAGCGAGCCTAGATGTAAGCTGTTCGATGAGGAGCTGGTGGTTGTTGGTCGTGTCGCTCGATCATCGCTCTGTCGGTGCTCACTCCCGCTATAATATCGTCCATCGCTGACGCCCTCTTGGTTATCCATCTCTATAGGACCAGCCTCTCAGCGGCGAAACCAACGCCCAAGCGGTAAGCAGATCTCTCGCTTGTAGCCATCTTATATGCTGTCGGGTACCACGTCCCGTATAAACCCGTTTTACTGGGGCTTTCTCGTTTCCCCCCCCACAGCCGGTCGCTTCGGCGTCCGGTAGCTGCTTTGCGGGATGCGGCTGGGTGGGCAACGAGATTCCGTTTGCTTGTGTTAGCCAAACCGTGGCCATATTGTGGCCGGCACTGGTATCCGTGCGCAGCAGACACATGATCCGCCGCTTTGTGCGACACCCGTGACTAACAACGTGCTCACTGTGGCTATAGGACTCCGGTGCCAGCAACGACAGTAACTGTTCTGACGATGGTGAAGTTAGCCACTCTGAATCCGGTTCAGAGGTATGTGGTTGGTCGAGAATGATGGCAGACTCGGCTGGCGTTACACCGTGTGGATGTGGTAGTTGCTAACGCTGCTGCTTCCGTCAGTTGCAACAGGAACGTGTTGTGAATGGGAATAATTTAATTGCCCAGGTAATTAGCACACAGAAAGAATATTTCGGTGTAAACTCACTTACGGCCTTGGTGAGCTATCGAGACGGGGCTTCGGTTGCACTGTCAGCACACCACATACCAGCGCTGATGTTGTTTTATCCATGTGTGGATTGTAGGATCGTGATCCGGCTGATCCTTCTATTCCGCCGGGAATGCCATTAATGCGACCGACCCTTCAGCTACGACCGCTTCTGCCAATCAACTCCTTGGTTCAAGCACGACCGAATATATAAATCTTGACGAGGTTCGCTGCCTTTGACATTACTGTACATGTCGTACCTGAAATCCGTGTTGACAATTGTGTGATATTTCTTTTTAACATACATCCATGTAAAATTCAACGGTATCCTGTATTAGAATCCTTCTACGGGAGAGCTCCATCAAGATCGGGACAATGCCAACACAGGTGTACAAAGTCCTCCATGGATCAGTAAATTCGGATATGTTCGTCCTATAAATCCAACAGGCCGCACTGCGACCATCATCCTCCAACCCCAAGCAAACACCCAGTCTGCCGCGGCTGAACGTAGAGAACCAGACCATTCGAGTGAGTATAGGTTTTGTATTACATTCTCGATTTGCTGATTACTAATATTCTTACAATCCAATTTTTAGTAACCAAACTGTTCAAAGATGCTGCACCGTGTGTTCTCGAGGGTTATTCAGTTCCGAGGTTACTCTTCCCTTCGAGCGATTATCTTTCCAAGGTTTCGGCAGAAATTCATTTCGAACAAAAAGACCAACGTACGATCAATGATTTATAGAATCATTGATTACCATCCCCAATCAAGGCAATACCGGAATCACAGCTGCAGCCGTACTTCAGAAATCCAACGCCTCCAAGCGTCGAGTTTGAAGTTATATGTGCAAAAACCCAGTCAGATTATGTGCGACTTCACCAGTATTGGACTCGAGAATCCACACACTTTGTATCAAGATATGAAGAACCACTTGATTAACCCTGAGACCTACCAGGTCTCAGTTGCTCAAATTCTTATTTACGAGGGGGTTATTGCACCTTCCATGTGTGTTGCAAAGGAAACTACTATCCCATGCGTGTCACTCGCGACTGCCGGGTATTGTTCCAATACCCCAACACTTCAAGAGGCTGAATGCCGGCTCAAACAATTCATCAGCACAATCGCCTCTGTTGCCGAAGTCGACTCGATGAAGAAATCTCAAAGGACCGAGCTCCGGCGATTGGTTTGGTTTCTTCGATTCAAATTGTTCATGATCCAATACCGAAACGAAGCATTCCGTCCAGACTCTGAAGCTGCCACTCGATCATTTGAGAATACATATGAACTCATCAAATGCGATGCACCGGCATTGAAAGATAGTATCAGTAAGTTAATGTTTGTGTCTTCATATTCTGGCAGGTGATGGATGGCACAAAATTAATTGTTTTATGAATTGTTATTGGAATGTAGTCCCCAAAGAATGTATTCAGTCGGCCAAATTGATCATCCAGTTGATGCAATGTGAAAAATCCGCAATGTGGTTCGACACAACGTCATATTCGCCCCTTAGCGACAAATCCAAGTATCGCAAGTACATCGATCATACCGTTGGTAAAATTATCCAACTACATAAGGCATCCAAATTTCCACTCGCTACGTTTTTGGATATGGCCAGTCCTTTCGGATGGAATTGTCCAGAGGCACAGTACGTCTTTGGACTATGGATGGAATCTATTTTTCATTTCCGAGCCGCTGGATACTTCTTCAGCCATGGATATGCCGCCGATGGGGAACGTGGCGTTTATGGGATCAGGGACGTTGGTTGGATTTGTCATTTGATTCAACGAAGGAAGGCCCTTGCCCGCACCTACGGATTCAAGATGTCCGTAGAATCTAGCAAAGCCCGATTCAACGAAACACATCAGTTTGTTTCCGAGGAAACTCGACAAAATCAAATGCCTCCGAGCTGCTCAAGCCGTCGGAAATTCTTTGACAATTCTGAGTGAAGCCAGGGAAACTCAGCTTAAAGAGATAGAAGTCGAAAAGCGCCCACCACGTGAGATACACGACTCTAGCTACGACATGTACGACATCGCTAATCAAAACGCATTTAGTGAAGTGTCTGTCGCCTATAATTCATGATAACACATTCTGGTTTCCGATAGAATCTATGCATCACTCGACCCCTCAGTATTGGAGAGCTTGATCAAGTGTACGGAATTTATTCCCAAGATTATCGTCAAAGAGCGCCTTGCAAAAATCGAAAAAATGAAAGTCAGGCTTCAGATGGAAATTGAAAATTTTATTGAAAATTTTGAAGGACTTGCCAATGCCCGGCGCTTAGGTTTCAAAATTGCAGCGAAATGCAAGCTCTTTTCTCGCATTCAAACTTTGCAGGGGAAGATAAACAGACGAGCCCGAAAGGAGCGCAGAAGTGGATCGAAAGACATTGACATTGAAAAGGGTGCTTGATGATCAACGTAACCGAATTGAAAGTGAAACCAATAAATAAGGGCATACCCTTGAATTTTGACCATTGAACAGTTATTTTGTTACCAAATATCATTGTGCGTTGGACATAACCATTCACCACACGCAACCAACTTTTGCATTGTTGCCTTGCGATGCTACACCCTCATCCAGAGTCCGCGCAAGATAATCTCGACCAACGAGTAACAATTTCAACCACACGGAAGTTTGCTTCAAGAGTGTGGAGCCAGTTCGGTTGGAAGGACTCGATGCGCCCAGTGCTGCGAATTCCCACTTTGTCAGGAGCTGCAAGAATCCCAGCTGCCGGACAGTGTGGAATCGCGACGTCAATGCGGCGCGCAACATGAATACCAAGAGCTCTTGTCTCAGGCGAGAGAGTTGATAGTGCCAAGTAACCACAAAACTCGAGACTGATCCCGGTTAGACGAGTTTGGTATCGCCTGGAAGGTGGTCGGTGGGTCAGGTCACGTGATAAGGAGGGGTCATCATCGAAAGACCGCCCTTTTCTTCTTCGTTCAAAAAATGTCCGGATGGTTAAGGCGCTCACGGTTCGCTCCTCTGCTCTCACACAGCGGGGGTTCGATTCCCGAAAGCCCCCGCCATCCAATATGAGATGATTCCGAGAGGCTGTCCGCTTACAGGACACGTCTTCAGAGCTCGCTCCTGCGTCCCGAAAGGACCGGTATAGCGATCTAGGGACCCATGCGTGCATGGCTTCTCCGAATCACCAGGCGTTGGGGAGATCTCGACATTTTTTTTTCAATTGTGCATGTGAATATATTACAGCCAATCTACAGTCAAACCAGAAAGAAACGGGACACCCAGGTTTTGACCATTGATCGAATATTTTGTTACCCAAAACCATCGCGCGCTGACCATGACCATTCGCCACACATCCGACTTTCGCACCGCCGCATTGCGATGCTACGCCCTCATCCATAGCCTGCGTAAGGTCGCCTCCATATTCAGTGTATCCAAGAGCACCATCCATCGATGGCACCGAGGATGCAAGCTGGATGACCCATCCCGGGTCCCAGCTCGCAGATCCACTTTCTTCGAGCAGGCATGTCCAGTCATTCGCACCCTGATTGAACAGGACCCGTTCCAGACTGGTCCTGTGTTGCGATGCAAGCTCGAGTCCATCCTCCAGAGGAAAGTATCACTCTCACTCTGCCACACTGCCATCCACCGAGCAGGTCTGTCTCACAAGAGGGCAACACACCTCTACAAGTCCAAGCGACTGGATGAGCGAGTGGCACAGTTCAGGGACCAGGTCCGCTCCATCGACCCACGACGATTCGTTTTTGTCGATGAGACAGGGATCAGGAGATCCATTTTCCCTCTTTACGGGTACTCATCGAAGGGTGCTCCGCTTCGCCAGCGCAATCACATGAAACACAAGTCTGTCTCGGCTGCATTTGCCATCAACCACTCTGGTGTGCTGCATCGCATGTACATCCCCACATCATTCAAGACACACTCGATGGTCGAGTTCTTTGAGCGAGCGGCCTTCCCAGATGGCTCTGTGATTGTGATGGACAATGTCAGCATGCACAAGACAATGGCTGTCCTGGACTGCATCGATCGCCGAGGATGGTCAGTGATCTTCACCCCACCTGCCTCGCCCGACTTCAATCCCATCGAGAACTTCTTTGGGATTGTGAAGCATCAGTACAGGAAGGCAGCAGCGCTGAATGCGTCTGAGTGTTAGAGTCCAAAGGGGACTCAACGGCAAAAGAAGAAGTGAGCTCGAAGTGAGCTCAGGGAAAGCAAGGGTAGAGTCCGAAGTGGACTCGGAGAGGGAGCGAGGGAAGCAAAGATCCGTTCAAGATAAGACTTGTCTCGAAATGAGACGTGAGGAACACTCAGAGAATAAAGTAGAAGGCACTTTATTTAGTCCTATTTTGAACGCTAAGGTTCGACTACACATCGCGGGGGTCAGGCTATTTATAGACAAGTCCGGACTTGGCAGCGAAGGGCGGCCAAGGGAGGGAAAAGTGGGCGATCGAGCAGGGCGAAGGGGGCGATGCACGAACGAGGGCCGAGAAGGACCACCGAGACAGGCAGAGAACCAAAGCGAGAGAGGCGCAAGCAAAAGCGAAGCACCTGGCAGGAGAAACGTGCAAAGGCGAAGCAATGTGACTCAACGTCCAAGAAGCGGATTGGTCAAGTATAAGGTTGGGGCAAATGCATGCGAGATGAACAAGAGATCGGGGCGGTCAGGCAGGTCATGAGTCACCGGTGGGGGGACACATGACCGGCAGCCGAATTGCAACCAATCGCAGCAAGGCGCGTGCACAAACAAACCGGCGCGTGCGAAGAAGACAAAGGAAGCGGAGCAGCGCGGGAAAACGGAAGTGCGGAAGGAGCGGAAAAACAGGCAAAAGGCGGAAAATCGGAGGGGAACTGCAAGGCTACACACAAACAAACAGAAAGGCAAAAGAATAGCCAAGTGTGCAGTCAAAGTGGAGAACAAGCAGGAGCTATCCCTAACATCATCCCCTTCCTTAGCGACGAACTCCGGACGTCGCCTTCGGCTTTGAGGGATAGCGAAGGTGGAAGTCAGCAACAAGATCAGTGGCGTGGGAAACATTGGCAGCGGGCTCCCAAGACCGGTCAGTCTCGGAATAGCCCTTCCACTGAACCAAGTACTGTAAGCGACCACGGAAGAGCCGAGAATCGAGAACAGTCTCGACCTCAAACTCTTCCTGGGAGTTAACAAGAATGGGAGGTGGTTCTGGTTGGGTGAACTCGGGAACAATGTCCTTCGTTCGGGGTTCAAGGAGGGATACATGGAAAACGGGGTGAACTTTAAGTGTGGAAGGGAGTTTAAGCTCAAAGGCAACGGGGTTGATGCGGCGAAGAACTTTAAAGGGGCCAAGCTTTTCTGGTCAAGCTTGTTGGAGGGACGAAGGGTGCGAATGTGGCGACGATCCAGGAAAACGAGGTCGCCAACGGAGATGTCGGGAGTGGGGAGACGGGATTTGTTGGCCTGCACAGTGTAGGACTCTTGGGCAACCCGGAGGTTGGCCTTGAGATCCTCGAGAACGGTCTGAAGTCGGTCGACACGTTCTTCGGCAGAGGGCACAACAGAGGGATCACGAATGATAGAGGGATCGAAAATGGGGTGATGGCCATGGACTGCAAAGAAGGGAGTCATGCCAGTGGAGGTGTTTTCCGAGTTGTTGTAAGTGAACTCGGCAAGGGGAAGGTGAAGGGTCCAGTCGTCTTGCAGGTAATTGCAATGGATACGCAAATACTGCTCGATGACCTGGTTGAGAACCTCGGTCGAACCGTCGGTCTCGGGGTGGAAGGCAGAAGAAAGGGAAATCTTCGTCTTCAGAAGCTCATTGAAGCGCCTCCAGAAGGCCGAAGTAAACTGAGTTCCTCGGTCCGAAACAATAGACCGGGGACAACCATGCAAGCGGAAGATGTGGGAGAGGAAGAGTTCGGCGGTTTGCTCGCCTGTAACCGTCTTCGTGGTGGGCACAAAGTGTGCTTGTTTGGACAGGCGGTCCTTAACCACGAAGATCGAGTCAAAACCGTTCGAAGGTGGGAGATCCGTGATGAAGTCCATCGACAGGTCCCACCAACGTTCGGAAGGAACGGGGAGAGGATGAAGTAAACCATAAGGGGAGTGACGGGACGGCTTGGCTCGCTGGCACGCTTCACAATTAGCAATGAAGCGACGCACAGACTTACGAAGCCGGGGCCAGTGAAAGTCCCGGGAGACGAGCTCAACGGTCTTGGCAAGACCAAAGTGACCAGCGGCAGCGGAGCAGTGACGTTGCTCAAACACTTTGAGCTGGAGCTCGGGGGAAGGGACAAACGATCAGGTCTTTAAAGTAAAGGAGACCGTCACGGAAGGAGTAATCGCCATCAAGACGTTTGGCGTTAAAGTCAGAAAGGAGGGAACAAGAAAGGGTGGCAGCTCGAATCTCGGAAAGAAAGTCGGGATTCGAGCCGATAACAGTGATGCTGTCGAGAGAAATAGACTCGAACAGCTGAAGGAAGTTGGTGGAGTGGAGGGAGTCACCAGGCTTTATCTCAAAGTCAGAACGGCGACTGAGAGCATCGGCTTTGGTGTTGAGACGACCAGGGCGGTGGTAAATGCGAAAAGCAAAGTCAGAAAGGAATTGGGCCCACCGGAACTGGCGGCGAGAAAGTTGAGAAGCGGCAGTGAACCGGGTAAGTTCTGATGATCAGAGAAAACAAGAGTGGGAATATCAGGGTCGGCAGCCATCAAGTAATGACGCCAGGCGGTAAAGGAATCGACAATGGCGAGGAGCTCTTTGTCGTGAGTGTCATAATTCACCTCGGCGGGACGGAAATTGCCGAGAGTGAAAAGCAACGGGGTGAAGAGCGCCGTCAGGGTCAAACTGAGAAAGGACGGCACCCAAAGCAAAGTCAGAAGCATCGGGCTCGATGACAGCGGTTTAGAGAAATCAAAAGTATCGAAGAATAGGTGCGGAAGTGAAGGGAAAGTTAAGAGAATCAAAAGCCTCTTGGGCCTCGGGAGGACCAAGAGAAGGTGGAGGGATTTGGTAGTGAGGGAAGTCAAAGGAACGAGCAAGTGCGGAAAAGTCCTTGACGAAGCGGCGGTAAAAGTTTTGCGAAAC